TCTTTGCAATTCATAAAACAAAAGTTAGAACAACTATTGTAATAATAAATATTGTAATAATAATTTAAAAATTAAACGAAGAATGCATGGATAAGTTTCAAAGCTACAAAACCTCGTGAGTCATCATAAATTAATGTATTTAAATGTGTTTGTAAAATAGCTACTTGTTTATAGAAATATAAACTAACATTGACATAATATATTGTTAAATTTACGTATTTTTTGAAAATACATATTACTCTTTTTTTTAATAATTTCTCAATAGCTGTCCCTTAACAAAAATAGTATTTATTTTTACTTTAAATTAGCTTATTAATACATTTACTTGAAATGAGCATGTATATATGAAAGTATAAGTTAACATCAGCATAATACATTAGTAAAAATATATTTATTACATATACATAGATAGAAATAAAATAGAATAACGTTTTATGTAATATTACTTTTTATATTGTCAATAAATCAAAACTGTATTATTATTATTCGTATTATTATTACTATTATTATTATTATTTTAATTGTATTTATATCTTATACTTTAAAAAAACTATAAATTTTTTAAAATATTGTTAACGTATTTTTATATGCATAAATATTTTTTTTGCGCTTTAAAAAAATAGCTCTGTTTCTGTTATTGCTAATAGATTTGCGTCCTTCACATGTCCTTCAGATGTAACGTTCTTCACATGTAACGTCCTTCACATGTAACGTTTTTAGAAATATTTTTTACAACGTGTGTTTAATTTGTATTACTTTAGTATTTAGTAGTTTTCAAAATTGTATAAAGTTAAATGAAAACGCATAAGTCATTTTGCCCCAGTGATTAGATGACAAATTTATAAAATTTACATTTTTATTACATGTTCTTCTATTTACAAACTGAAAATTTGTGCTGGCAATGAATTATTATGATAAAACAAACATATTAAAAAGTATTGTTATTTTATGATTGATAGTTCGGCAATAACTTAGGGTTTTCAAAACGTTTGCAATCTTGCTCCGTCTACTTATACTATGCCAACTGGTGAAGCAGCAAGTAAAGTATTACCAATAAATATTTTAATATTGTTTTTAAAATTATGTTATAGTTAATATCTAATTATATTAACTATAACATAATAAATATTTATAAAAAATAGACAAATTTTAATTTTTTAAAAGAGCAATCATATAAAATAACACCGAAATGCGGAACAATTTGAATATTATAAATTTTTGTGTTTCAAATGAATCAAATTCGCTCTCATAAAAAAATCATAGTTTAAATCCTCTGGAATTATACTGTACATTTTCTTTCAATATGACTGATATCTATTTTTAAAATAGTTTATTTAATAGGAGGGCTACGATCGCGACCATTTTTCATTCATATAGGTTAAATAATTTATGTAAGTCATTCATGTTCGTCAATTAAATCTCTCAGTATAAATTAAAAATATTTTGTGCAACACTATATAAACAAAAAGCGGAAAGTAATGATAGCGGTAAAACAAACGTTACCAATTATTGTGTTATTTTGAGAATTCGTTATATGGTTATTTAAAAAAATATATGGACACTAAAATAAATAAATCTTATCATTAGTTATGAGTGCAGAATACTGGAATTTAATGGAAAAATCTCGTTATTACAAACAATCCAAAATGAAACAAAAAGATTATTTAGAAATGGTTCAACGAATAATTCAAGATGATCACTACAAAAATGTACAATTTATGCCTTCAAGTAAAGAGCATACGAAAGCTTTATCGTTCCCCCGATTCAAAAAATATTATAATAATCGAAGCAAATATTTTATAAACGAAAAAGATAACGCATCCGTTCAACTACAAAGATGTACTCAAATTTTTCAAGCTAAAGAACACCCATATATGTTCGACCAAACAAAAAGACGCCCCTATTTGCTGCATCGGCATTTTGAGAATAGCAGTACTTCAGATGTTGTCAAAACAAAAACAGTTCGAGAAAGACCAGTTGACAAACAAAGTCATAAAACTCAAACAACTAAAACTCCTACTTCTATTTTGAAAAATCGCATGAATAACTCCTATTCTACAACAAATATTAAATCTCCTGTCTTTACGGCATACAGTGAAAAACAACCATATCAAGAAACTAATACTTTATACAACTCGCTACCACAAAAAACTATAAAGAAACAAAAGAGCGTAACATTTAACAATGCTTTTATAAAACGATTTGAGGAAGAGAACGAAAAACAATTGTCAGCGCTCTCTACAAAGTTATCTGAAATTAAAATTTATCAAAACAATGATAAATCCTTTTATCCAAATAACCTAAAACTAGAAGAAAGTGACGTCAAAAATAAATGTGTAAATCAAAATTATTGTGATAACGACTACATTAATAATTTGAAAAGTATAACTTATTCAGACAATAGTTTACTATTATTACAATCACCTCAAAAACATGATATCTTAAATAAAAATTATTTAAATGAAGATTTTTTGTATTAAAAAAACAACAATTAGGATGCACGTTGCTGCTTTTTTTTTTAATTTTAAAAATTTCTTCACAAATAAATGCATCAAAAATTTGATTAATTTCAAAATGAAGCTTTTCTAAATCCAAGAATTTATTCAGAAAAATTTTTTTTTTATACTACAGAACTTTCAATAAAAAAAGCGGGCTTTTTTTTAATTTCAGATTTTTTTTGAAAATAACAAAAGATTGGATTAACTTGATGTTCTGTCTTAAATGAGGTTTTGATATATAAATGATGTATGATATGTTTTAAATGTCCTTATAAAGTTTTCTAAATGATAAAATAATCGATTTGTTTATTTTTTGTTTGTTTGTTGCTTGCTGGTTTTCTTGATAGCAAGCTAATTCCGACGTTTTAAGTTAATTTAACTACAAGTTTTTTTTAACTAGTTTTTCAACATTATTAATGAATTACTATATTTAAATCAATTAATACTACTTTAGAATGCACTTTAATAATAGCTTTATAGTGTTTTTATAACAACTTTAGACAATCGCCAGTAAAGGATTTTGTTCTATTTCCATGATGGTTATCTGCTAGACAACCATCATGGGAATAGATAATAATGGCTATTTATTATCTACATCAACATCATGGGAGATAACCATCATGAGAACTTAATGATAAGTTTTTTCATTGCAGTCCTTATAGATAATCTTTTTTTGACTATAGTGGAACTAAAATTAAATTAAATATATGTATATATACATACATTTAATTCAACTACAAAATTAAATACATGTATATATACATACATTTAATTTAAATATAAAATTAAACATATGTATAAATACATATATTTAATTCAATTTTAGTTAAATTGCTGTTTTTAAGATTAAAGCTACAAATCTAAATTCCACTATAGTCATAAAAAGATTATCTATATGGATTGGTATGGGAAAACATATCATTAAGTTTTATTTCCATAATTGTTTACTAGAAGACCGCTAGAGACTACTACTAGACTATTTCCTCAGAGTTTTTTAATAAAATCAAATAAAAATCATTTACTTGCGAACGGCTAAAATTGTCATAAAAACACTAGTAAACAATTAATAAAGTACATTCTAAGGTAGTATTAATTGATATATATCTTAACTTGTATACATTTACATAAAAGTTTTTCTCTTTTCTATTGTTTGGAATAGATAGCCAATCTTGAATCTGATCTCACTTTTGTAACAGATTGGGCCTTGCAGTGGCTTGTAAATTTTAATTCCAACAAAACTTTACTGCAAACAACTACCACAATACTGTCGATATTTCTATATTTATGAATGGCAACTCTCTCACTGAGTTTTCTATTTTACTTCCTAATGGATTATCGTTTACCACTGACTTTCATGGAAACCATATAAACAATCGATTGTTCATATGGTTTATATTGTTATTATTGTGCTTGCCATTTTCTTACTCCTGATTCCATTCTCTACATCTACAAATATTTTATTTATCCCTGTATGGAATACTGTTGTCATGTTTGGGCTGGTTCTTCTAATGATGCTCTTTCTCTTCTATGTAATGTCTAAAATCGCATTGTAAACGTAGTTGGTCCCGCTCTATCTGTTAACCTTAAGCTTCTTTCCCATCGTCGTAAAGTTGGATCTTTTTTTCGTATCTACAAATATTATCACGGTCACTGCTCAAAGGAGCTATTATCTCTAGCTCCATCAACTAAAACTCATTCTCGCTTGACACATCATTCATCTATGTCTCATTCTTTTACTGTATGCTTCAGAAAACTTTATTTCGTCTAGTTTTTCTCCTTCGGAACTCCCATCTTCATGTTTTTTCTGACTTATAAAACCTTCAACTTTTAAAGTCTATTGTCAACCGTTTCCTTGCTCTTTAACTATATTCTTTGTTTTCTAGTAACTCTTAAGTTAATAGTAGTTGCTTACAACCTTGTTAAGAGTAAATCAGAATTGTATATATAAAAAAAAACACAGAATTATATATATAAAATGATATCTCAAACAAAATAAAATCAAGCAGTAAACTATTTGCTGACGACATGAAAATAATGATATTATTGAACTTTCACAAGATATAGACTTATTAATGGAGTGGTCGAATGAGTGGTTGATGAAATTCAAAATTCATTTTTACACAAAACCCGAAATGCTAGATAACGGATATAAAACTAAAGGTCACAATAGTAAACTGAGAAGGCAATATACAGGAAATATAAAAAGACATAATTTTTTCACCGATAGAATAGTAAACGACTAGAACAATCTTAAACAAGAAACTTCGCAATCAGTATCAACCAGTTCAAAACAGGTTGGATGAATACTAACTTTTATTATGTTTGTATGTTAGTGTGGTACAGCTGTTACAGTTACAAACTCTACGTAGTTTGGACTCATCACTCTTTAAGAGTGCAACTATTATACTGTATTATTAAAAAATATGTATTCAAAATTGACGATCAATCCGTGAAATTTTCCGAATTGAGTCTTTCTTGAAGTCAAGTTATTTCAAAAATTTAGATACCGTGCTTGTCTGTATACAAAACCGCTTTAATGCTCACATGTAGGGTAATTACAAAACGGCAAAGAACCAAAATCAAACATCGACTAAAATAAAGCAGAAGTTTGATTAAATTGACTTAATTGAGCCTAAAAAATGTACGATCCAATAGACGAAGGTAAAATTTTAAAACTCTAAACAAAAACGTTAAATTTAGCAAGTTTTGTAATCTTATTAAACAAAACATTTTTGCATTGGAAAACGAATTTGTTTACTAAAGTTTAAAAAAATTAACATAATTGTTAAATTTAAATAATTTTTGGGTGATGTTTGTATTCATAATCTCCAAAATATATTCAAACAATTCAATCCATCTCATACCTTGGAAAATTGCTGAGCCATTTACAGTCGTATTTTGTCTTTACCTGTTTTTAAATGATTATACAAATAATAATTATTTGCAACAATAAAAATTTAAAATTAGTTTAAAAGTTATTATATATATATATATATATATATATATATATATATATATATATATATATATATATATATATATATATATATATATATATATATATATATATATATATATATATATATATATATATATATATATATATATATATATATATATATATATATATATATATATATAATAGATAAATATTTAAATTATTTATCTATCTATTTATCTAAGAATTATTTAAACTTATTAGGGTAAATTAGCCTAATTTTAGTCAACATTCAAAAAGTTTAATTTGTTTTTGATGGAAAACATTTTTTTGATAGAATTTTTTTCAATAGATAAAAGACTTTAATTTCTTTAATAATATGTAAAAAAAAAAAAAAAAAAAAAAAGTTTTTTACAATATTTATTTCTTAATATTACAATACAAAAACATTTTTTGACCAGATTTATATTTTTTTCAACTAAAGTTAGCCATTGCTATAATTAATGAGAAAGCAATAGTGGTTTTGCAACCAGATATATACCTTAAAAGGTTATTAGCAAGGCGCTGAGTTTTTTTCTGAACTAAAAAGTATTGACTTGGCGGTTTTAGTATAAAATAATAAATAGATAAATTTTTATTTTTTTAGTAGTTTTCACATATAAATTGGTTTTCTCTTTTATTTTATTGACACATTGTTTTCACATTGAACCATTGAATTGTGAAAAAAAGTGCTTTGTTTTTACATTGAAGTTCTTTTGCTGTTTACTTGGTATGCTTGCATTGTCTGCATAGTCTATGTTACGCTTTGTAGCCTTTTTTTAATTTGGTTTTTCATCCATTGCTTGAACGTTCTCCATTGTTTCAATTTCAGATAAGGCTTCTTCTTCAATTCCTACACTGTTTCTTTTAGATTTGTTAATATGTTTATAAGAGTTATAACTTTATTACAGAAATGTTTCCATTTCAGATTCTTAAACGAATTTAATTGAAATGTGTGCTTTGTTATAATATTCAATTAAAATAGACATTGGTGTTGAAAAAATTAATGAACACTGTGCAATCGATGAAATAGTCAATGCTGATTGTAATACTAGCTTTGTACTGGATTTTCAAATGTTTTTGTTATTTTTAATTTTGATAAGTTTATTAATTAAATTAGAATTAGAAAAAGGAAATAACCCTATTTTTTTGAATGCACTAACTGCATGTGTTCTGGTTAAGCACTTACCACTTTCCTAAAAAGCTTTTAATAAACTTTTTAGGAAAGTGGTAAGGAAAATTAGCTTTATCAACATTTTTACATTTTGATAATTCATAATATGATTTTAATAAGTTTTTACAGGTAGTTTAATGTGACAATATAATCCAAGATTCAGTCACTGCAAAATATGACTTAAATGAGCTTGTAAGTAGACCTACATATCTTTACATATTTAAATAACTGTTTAAGTGCTGTGACTTTCTGAATTATATTCCTTGCTTTCAATGATGTTTCAAATCATTTTCAACATCTTCACTTTAGTTGTTGTTTAGCAGTTTGTTGATATTTTGTGATGGTTATTATTTTTTATATCAGTTTGCAGGAGATAGATTAATATTAGCATATTACTTAAGAGAAATGGTTTTCTTTTTATAGAAATAAAAGAAAATTTAAATAGGAAGTATTATTGTAGATTTCTATCTTTATTCAAACAAAATCCTTATTTTGCTACATAAAATAAGAATCCTTTTACATACACAAAAATGTCATCTTAGTTAGTAATTAAAAAATTTCTTTAGATGATGATCACTATGACAATACAGAGGAAGATGATGAGATTTCAAAAGAATTGTGGCAAGAAGCTTGTTGGACAGTTATCAGCTCATATTTTGAAGAAAAAGGTCTTGTTCGTCAGCAACTTGATTCTTTTGATGAATTTATTCAGATGTCAGTTCAAAGAATTGTTGAAGAATCTCCTCCTATTGAATTACAAGCTGAAACTCAATATACAGAAAATGAAATAGAAGAACCTGTAAGTAAATTTTTAATGAACCAGTTTTAGTAATTATTAAAACTAGCTGTCGTGACCTGTACAATACGGGTCGTGGTAAGTCTGTTCCACACCGAACTATTTCTAAACTTGTTCTTAGTTTGGTCTCTATACTTTAATTTATTATAGTAAATGGCAAAAAGTTGATTGATATAAAGTTCTTGCTATTTGGTTAACAATTAATTACTATACTTTAGAACTGTACTTATTTACTTCAATATTTTTTACATAATAAAAATATCTTTAATATAAGACAGTTGCGTAACATTTCTTCAGGTGTTTTTGGAAACCTAGGCTATAATAATGTTTTACCCTCTTATCAAGATTTATTTAAAAAGCAAATTTGGACATTAAAAAACAGGCTAAAAAGATCTAGTTATTTTAAATAAGTTAGCTTTATCTGTTTGATATTTCTTATAAAAGCTTTTTTGTAAAAAAACTTTTAACAAATTTATTCAACTAAGCTGTTTTTACTGCCGAGTTAGGCAAATAAATTATTAAACCTGTTGTTTGTGTCAAAAATTGATACTTAATGCAAATGGAAAACTTTGAGTACAAATGATGATAAAAGTATAAATGGTTTCTATTCACATATAAAAAAATAACGAAAATATTAAAAACAAAGTAAAAATGGTCTATATATCTATTCAAAACAATAATTCCAAAAAATAAAAAATATAGAAGTTTACTCAAGAAACAAAAAGTATATTTTTCTTGAGATAAAATAAAAATATAAACTTTAATAAAAATTACACAAAAAATTATTATATTCAACATAAAAAAAACATCAAAAATACTTATAAAAACAAATTAAATTGAAACATTGTTTCTTTATCATAGCTTTTAGTAAATGGTATGAAGATTATCAAACTTTGTTATAGCTTTTTGAATATGGTGGATATGGAGAAAGAGAAGCTAATACAACTTTTCCTAAATGGCAGCACAAAAATGAATTTTATTTAAAAACTTCTATGCACCACAATACTGACAAATATGGTTTGATTCTCTGTAGTAGTTACTCTTTATAGCAATATTTTTTCTTGCAATGCGATGCATTTATACTTTCTGAGTTCTTGCCTAGCCTGATATCTTTCATTTCTGCAGCAATTTATCTCAGCTCACCTAGGCTTATCTCTTTCATTTCGACATTGATTTAGCTCATCTAGCTTGAGCTCATCTCTTTCATTTTGGCAACGGTTTAATTCATCTCACCTAGCCTGGTTTCTTTCATTTCGATTTTCAAGTCTAATGATTTCACTTATTAAATTATCTGACATAACTAAGGATCAAAGGAGTGTGTAAAAATGATGCTTATTATTCTCTATACAAAAAATCCTGCAAATTTAATGAGTTACTAAAACTTATATTATAACACTTAAATGGAGAGGAGCTATAATTAAAAAGGAAGCCCATTTTTTAACAAAATTTATTTATCAACAAAAGCATAAATTGTTAACAAAAAAGAAAAGAGTATATATCTTTGAAGAAAAATTTACTTAAAAAGTAACTGTACATAAATATTTAATGAAGTATATATCTTTTCAATAAAATTTACTTAAAATTATAAATATTAAAAAAATTATATATATTAAAACAATATATCTTTTTAACATTTCTTTTAAACACATTATTTCTACAATATTTTTTCAACACATTTTTTGAATACACTTACTACAGATTTAATTTTAGTGTTTCATCATAACAATACACATAACTTTACTGGCACAGAAAACATTCTTGCTTTCAACAAAGCCAAGTCACATTATAGCAAAATACACCAGTTGGCTAGCAAGATCAACACTCTTACTGTAAGCTAAGCCAAATCACAACAATTTGAAACCATGCAAACAACATAATAAACACTTAAAAACTAACATAACATTATAACACATTACAAACATACTGTTACATAGAATCATTTTATATGTAAAAGATATTAACACACTCAAAACCCATATAACCTTAACACATAAACATAATAAATAACACATAAAAATAATTAAATATATAAATTAAAAAATATATAAAAATTAGAAACATATACAACCTTTTATAATATTTGTTCAATGACATACCTCGTAATGAATGTTTATTAACTTTAAAAAACAAACAATCAAAACGACCTGGTTTTTAATATATTAAAAGTAAACAAATTTTCTGTAATTTTTTAAAAATAAGATATTAAACGATCTTGTTCTTGAACATGCAACATAGAGTTGTGTTGTTGTGTTGTAGTTGAGTTGTGACCGTGTGAGATGCAAGGATTTTCGAGATAAACACCAACTTTATAAAGAGTTTGACGTTCTGACCTTTGAAAAGAGCTTCTAGAGTCATTGTCATCTTCTAATTTAAAAAAATAAAAGTTAGAGTTTAATATACATTAAAATAAAATTTATAGATTAATATACTTTAAATACAATTGACAAATGACTTAAATTATGTTATTGTTAAAATGCATGAGTTAAGTAAATTACTCGACTTTAAAAGTTACTATACTAATTTAAAAATAACATAAGGTTTATCCATTACTACAGAAGTAAAGATTAAAAAGTTTTTGATCTTATTACTGTTAAGCAGATATTAACAGATTATAAAGATTTAAGAATACCTCATCGTGTAGTAAAAAATATAAAGAGAAATATTAAAATGCCAAGCATGCTAAAAACTCTGTGTCAAATGCGCACAAATAGTGATGACAGTATAAAATAATAATAAAATTAATGTTTTAATCTAATAATGGTTGCTTATAGCTGAAAAAAATTGCACTACAGTTTTTTTTTTTACATTTTTTTAAAACTTTGATTCCCTATTTTAAGAAAAGTTTTTTGCTTCTTTAATAACTTATTTAATACTATGATGCTAATATTTTAAGATGCTATAATTAAATAAATTTTATTTTATGTGCATTTGGAATAAATGTTTGTAACAAAAAGTAATTTTTAAAATATAATATTTTTAAACATGTCGTTTAAAACTAATTTATAAACCATTTATCGCTTAAAGTTATAAATCCTTAAACATCAGTATGGCTTTAATCTATTGGGTAAAAAATTGCTTGTCTGTAACTGTATAATAAATTTTTAAATATAATTTACCATGCCTACATTTCTGGTTATTCTGTTTTTTATGGATAGGAATAAATTTAAGATTTAAAAAGATGTATAAAAATATTTTTTATATTTTTATAAACTCGAGTCTTGAAAGCAAAATTTTTTTATTTTATAACTTTCTACTTCAGAATTTTTGCTCAATAAACATTTGATTGTATAATTTTATAACTTTCTAGTTACTTCAGAATTTTTGCTCAATAAACATTTGATTGTATAATTTGTCAATTATTTCAAAATTTGTTTATTAAGCCAAAAAAAAAATGTTGAAAAAAAAAAGGAGTTGTTACTATTGTTAATAGTAACAACTCCTTTTTTTTTTCAACATTTTTGTTAAATATTTTTTTTAACAACTTTTGATTCCTTAAATCTTTTTTTTTTTTAATTTCTCTCTCTCTCTCTCTCTCTGTCTCTATATATATATATATATATATATATATATATATATATATATATATATATATATATATATATATATATATATATATATATATATATATATATATATATATATATATATATATATATATATATATATATATATATATATATATATATATATATATATATATATATATATATATATATATATATATATATATATATATATATATATATATATATATATATTAAATTAAAAAAAAAGTAAAATTGCCAAAAAAAAAATGTTAAAAAAAAAAAGGAGTTGTTACTATTGTTAATATGCTTATTAAGTTGAATTATCGAGTCTAAGGTATTTTATTAAGTTTTGATACCTTTTCATTTCATTTTAAGATACATCTGTCTCATTTTTAAATGCAGTTAGCTAAGTAAAAAATCTTTTTATATATATATATATAGAAATTAAAAAAAAAGAATTAAGGAATCAAAAGTTGTTAAAAAAAAGATTTAACCAAGAATTATTTACAGGATCACTTATATCAGAACAGTCATTTGAACTAATTGTAGATGCTAGTTGATTCAAAGCAAATTATCAGAATTAACAAAACAGTGCTCTTCAATTTAATTACTCTCTATATCCATCATATTATTTTATATAAGCTAAATTTAAGTGCTATTGTGAAATTTATTAAATAGAAGAACCATTATAAAATCTTGTCTATTATATTGCATTGAGTATATGTTCAGCTTTTGGTGTTGTTTTAAATTTGCCTATTTTAAAAGATTGCATCAGACTAGTTCTCATATGCAAATATGGTTTCGATTTTGACAAATGACAAGCTTTAAAAAAATATAGGTATGATCAAAGTTAATGAATATTTATAAATTGTTTTTGATACTTCATTTATTTATCAAGAAGTTCCAGAAGTATGACTATTTTATTTTTAGCTGATATTGGCCTGGAACCTCTTGTCTTCTCAGAGTTACAACATTAATTTAGTTTAAGTTTAAAATCAGACAACTTGAAAAAAAAAATTATTCTTTCTACTTAAAAATTTGTTCCTAGCTATTTTATGTGGTGAGAAATCCTATGAAATGATCAGAAATTGCCTGAGTATTCAGGCAATTACTAATTATTCTAATAGTAAAACTTATTGGTATTGCACATGCATGTATAAAACATTCAATTAACCTTATGTTTATACTAAACCTCAAAGAACGTTTCATAAATTTGTCAAAAAAAATTTTTTAACTTATAGTGTAATATTTTTTTAAAGAATTCAAAGAATTTTTCAAAAACTTTGCTTTGAAGTTGTAGTCGGAGTCGGAGTTGGAGTCGGAGTTGAAGTTGTACTCAAAAAAATTCAACAACTGGACTCAGAGTTGTTACTTTTTTTTTATGACTCCACACCCCTGCCCAAAACCGATCTGCTCTAAATGGCTCAACAATTTTATAAAAAGGACTGTGTGGGTGCCTAAACTTTACCATAACATATTGCTGAATATTATCATTTTTATGTATTATCTCAATCCAATAAAATCATATTTACAGAGAAAATAGAAAAGTAGAAGAGAAAATTAAGTATAAACAAATAAATTATTAACTGAAAAAAGAAACGAAATCTTAATGAATAATAAAACAAATATAAGATAAACTAGAAAAAATAAAAACATAAAGTTAACATATTTTTTTATTTAGAAGCTGCTTAATTAATAGTTGAAACCAAATAATTTTTATTATTTTTTTAGTAATTTAAAAGCATCTTAATACTTTAAAGCTAAGAATTTTTCTCATATCACAATGTTAATGTAGCGCTTATTTATCTACACGAGGAGTGATTATTAGTTTAATATTTTGCTTATTTATCTGTATGGGGGTTCAAATCCTTTTAACTGATCTTTTTTTAATGTTTTATTTGCTTAGTAGACAAAAAAATATCAAAGTTTTAAATTCTTCAATAATTAAGTTTCAAAGTAATTAACTTAGATTAAATAATTTTAAAACTTTGAACTTGAACTCCAAACATCGTTGAAAAACTAAAAAATTATAGATTGAATCTATGTCTTAATGTATTCGAGTCTTCTTAAAAGCATGTGGTGGTCATGCAATGTATTTAATTAAAGCGTTGTCTTATAATAATGAGACTATTCTTTATTATAGTTTTTTGAGTTGTTCTTCTATTTAATTGATTTCAGTACCAAAAAATATTTTTTTAAATATTTTATTCATTTTTGTTATACAATGTATTCTAGAAAAAAATTTAAAAAAAATTCTCTTCTTTTTTTTTTTAATTTTGTTAAAAAGCAAGAAAATTATTTGAATAGTTATTAAAAATCTAATTGACCTTATATTTTTAAAATCCACTGTATAAAGATAAAGTTTAAGGATGATGTTTGAAATAGTTTACTATTTGCATCTAAATTTCATAAACAAAGTGTTATTTTGTCTTGTGAATTAAAGCAAAAAGATTTTACTTTAGGCTAGTTATTTTAATTTTTAATGAGGAATGCACATATTATTTCAAGAAATAAATAATGTTTTTAAGTCTTATAGGGAATTCTTTAAAGTTTTATGGGGGATGCTCATATTATTTCAAGAAAAGTAGATACGGCCTTCAAGTGATTCATTTCTCTAACATCCTCAAATTTACAAGGATCTGAATTTACCATTTCAATAAGTAAGTTCACTGAATTTACCATTTTAATTAGTAAGTTCACTGAATTTACTAATTGTAGCATCAAAGGCACTCTATAAATAATATCTAGGCAAAAAATTTAAAAATTGGTTTTTCAATTATTTTATCATAATTAGTGTTATTACATAATCACATTGAAATGAAAAGTACATATTGCTTTTAGTGACTACCTAAAAACCTAAAAACCTGTGTTCTTATTTCAGTTTTAAATAGCCCAATGCCTGAGCTTTTATTGTAATATTTATAAACTTATAAATTTTTATTTTATTTAATAAAAAAAAATTTACAAAGCATTATAATTTTTTATTGAAAATAATAATTTTTGCTTGTTTTACTGTTTGATTTATGCTTAGTTACAACATTTATTCTTGATAAAAAGCACACTTAATTTTGTAATTTAATGGATAAGCACACTAATTGGATAATCACACTAAAAAAATTTTAGTATTACTAAAATCTTTTTATAATGAGGCAGATAAGCACCATTTCATCATCTGCTATTTTAGATTATTTATTAAAAACTAATTTCAAATCCACCAAGGCTCTAGAAGGTGCACTCAAGTAGGCTACTCCTTTTTTAAATTTTTATTATAAAACTCTCTTCACCTGAAAGTCCAAAACAAGAATCTTGCGCTAAGAAAGAGATTGAGTGTGATACTTTCATAGCATAGGGTGGATTTGAACCTTGAATCTTTTGGTTTTAGTATTCTAATACCTATCTACTAGTGCATCTCCAAGTTATTTAATTTCTGGCATTTTCTATACAGAACTCTAAATTTGGAAAAATAAAACTTGCTAAATACTGCTGACCTAAAACTGTTTTAGGTCGGAACAAAATCTTAAATGATGGTTCAACAAATCAACAAACATGCAAAGGTTTAGCATAAAATTGAATAGAAAGTTTTGCCGATTTTATTTTATTGACTTTATTTACAATTTAAATAAAAGGTTTGTATTTAGAATTTAAATAAAACCTTCATTTTGCCATTTTATTTCAATTATTTTAATAGGAATTAAAAAAAAATATTTGTTTTTCTGCTTTATTTTAATTTATAATTTAAATAAAATGCTTGTTTTGCTGTTGTATTTTTAAACAAGTTTCAGAGTTTGAACAAAATCTCTAAATAATCAAAGGGAAAAGGAGGTCTGGCTGATTTTTTTAAATTTAAGCAATTATATTTCAGGATCTACTTAAAGTTAAAGAATGAAATATTTAAAGAAATCTTCTTATCAAGTTCAACTGTAGTTAAGTTGTATGGTTACATAAATGATGAATGGACATGGAGTTACTCTTATGTGGTTAGGATATTGACTTATCAGAATTTAAAATTTTTTATTGGGAAATCGTTTTGCTTTATGTAGATCTGAACCCATGGTATCTTATGACTTGAACACTTGAAAATTTTGATTCATGTCTTTAGAGTCATTGAATTATTTACTCTGTTGTGTATGTTTTCTGAAAACTTTATGAGGCTACTAATAAAGTTTTTAAGATCTTTTTAAAAAACTTTTTAAGAAAGTATGGTTACAAAAAAAAAAAAAAAAAAAAAAACTGTAATTTTTTTTTAGAAAAGGAAAATTATTGACAAAACAATTAGATAAATTTACAAATAAAAAATATTAAATCTATATTAAAATATTAAATAAAATTTATCAATTTAATATAATCAAATATATGCAATATTTTCCAGACTCGGTATCAATTAAAGTTTGAACAGATTTATTTATCAAAACCGACTCATTGGGAAAAAGATGGTGCTCCTAAACCTATGATGCCAAATGAAGCTAGATTAAGAAATCTTACGTAAGTTTTTTTCTTGAGTAAGTAATTCAAATTTATTTTGTCAAAATGTACCATAATATGAATTATTTATTCTGTCATAGGGTATTACTATATGGATTATTTATTATGTCAAAGCATATGATAATGCGATTTTAAATGAAAAAATAAATTTGGATTGATGGTATACAACTATGTTGTCCAGTGCACACATTTCAATAATATTTCATCATTTATTAAGTTTTAATTGATCGATTATGATAAATGCATATATTTTTTACACTTAAAAATTATATTTAGTTTATTGTACTGATATTGACACCAACTAATCTTAATTCTCAGCCAAAAGCAATAATGATTTAGCAAATAATAAATTTGATTTATAAACTGGTATAATAAAATAGCCCATATTGCTTTTTTATTATCAATATTTTTTATTTATGTTACTTTTTAAATCTTATAAGTTTGCATTAAACACAATTTTTCTTAGTGTTTTTTTTTTTTTTAATGGAGTTTATTTGTTGTGAGATTATGTATTCAAAAAAGAATGAGTACCGTATGATTAGTATTCATGGTGTGACATCATATGATTCAAACATATGAATTAAACACTTTTAATACAATTAATAGATAATTTGAATATAACAAGCCTGTTGTACAGACTTTTTTGGGATTAGCTAAAAAGTTTCCTATAGTCCTTCTTCCTGTGTAGAGATTATTGATTTTAAACTACACTAGAACTGAAATTTTTGTTACAAACGATTTTATTTTACTTATAAATTATGATTTTTCAGTTTCAACTATTAAATAGCACATTAGATATGTCATTATATTGTAGACCTCATTTGCTTTTGATCACTGCTTAGATTTGGCATGTTGAGAATTAATTTGTTGTAGTACTTTTCATATATTTCTTTTATCCAAATTCCTTTTATTGCTTTTTTTAATGATTGGATGTTTGATGGGTGTTTGTCAGCAACCATCTAAGGATCTAAAATCAAGAAAAAACAGAGTCAAGAGAAATCGAGAAAAAACTCTGTCGGAGTCGAGGAAAAATCTGAGTTTCGTTATAATTTTCGTTAGAATTTTGTTATAAATAAAAAAATTAAACTATCTATTTCATAATTAAACATTGTTCTTGTATTTCTGAGTTTCGATAATATTTTGTTATAAATAAAAAAATTAAACTATCTATTTCATAATTAAACATTGTTCTTGTATTTTATTTTTTTTTACTTTTAAATCTTTCGATTTATAATTCATAATAAAATTTAAAAAAATTTATATTTTTATATTTCTTAGTAATTAAATATTTTTTTTATATCAATTTTTTAACAAACAAGTTTTATCTAATAATTAGCATTCTAACCGGGATTGGTTAGGAAGAAGGCGTAAACTTTCATTTAAATATCCTTCCACGTTGCTATGTAATAAAGACTTCTTGGGGTACCTATAGTAAAAAATTAAAAAAAAAAATTGAAAAAAAAAAAAGTATTTATTCTGAAGATCTTTTTAAATAATATTTTAAAAAGATTAAAACATTTATCATTTCATCAAAAATTCTTCTGATTTCACACCAGTTACTTCATATTCTTTTAACTGATCAGTGAAGGTCTTAACTTTTTTTGGCTTTTTAGCTGCTGATTGATTTTGATTTAGAACTTCTTGAATTTCGGCAAAAAAAGATGTCGATTGTGATGGTTCTTCTTGTTTGCTTTTAGTGTGATCATCTGATTTTGATGGGAGATTTTCTTTTGTTGCAAATAGTTGATCAAATAATTTTGCAACATAAGCTTGAATATCTTTTTTGGAAGCGTAAAAAAATGTGTGGATTTTTTTTTTTATATATCAAGATTGTGCAAATAACGACTCAATGATACCATCAGTGCCGGATCAAAGGGGGCTATAGTCCCGGGCCCTGCAAATTAAGGGGCCCCCAAAAATTTTAGATGTCTTTTTTTTTTTTTTTTTTTGAAGTCATTTTTTAGGCTCTGACCCATAAAAAGGCCTCCAAACACAAAAATAGCCTTGGGCCCCAAGAAGTCTTAATCCGCCACTGGATTCCATCATAACGTTTTTACAATCTTCATATTTGGAGATTAACGCCTATGCGAAATTAGAACTGATGTCAGTTTCTACAACCTTCAATTTCCTTACTAACATTTCCATAATAATGTCACACTCCGAAATTGTTGTATTTGGTTTTTCCAAGCGAACTGCAGCGTCAGCAATGACTTCCAATAAGTCAAACAGCGATTTTAAGAAATCAATTTCATCTAACATGTTTAAGCAGTTTAGCTCTTCGAGTGTTTTTTTTTACAGCTTCTAAGCAATCCAAAAATCTTTTAATTATCTGAAAAACACTGTTCCATCTAGTTAGGTTGTCGAGCAACAGTCCTTTTGTCACGCAAAGATCCGTATATTTCGTATATTTTTCTTTTAAGAACTTCATATCGATACAATGAGCATTTCAAAAACTAATATAGTATTCGAAGTTTCTGTAGACTTTTTTTGATATTTTCTTCATAGTCAATCTTATTTTCCGACTATTCAATAAGAAACTCTCCTTCAGTTTCTGTTTCAATATCCAATTCAGTTTCTTTGTTCACAATTTCGCGACAATCTTTTTTAGCGTATATCAAATCACTAACACTCAAAAGAATTGAGAACACTCAGATTCCTCCAATTATTGTCTGATTAACCTTCTTTCTGATATTAGTAAGATTTTTGAGTCTTTGATCAAGAAATTTCTCACTTCCCATTTTGAGATAAATAACTTACTGTTAGACAAAGCCTGTCAACTCAACTAAAAATCCATATATTTATGTGTAATTGGCGGTACATTGAATTATGAGATATCTTGCGGGACCATATAAACAACATAAATTTACTATACATATTTGTTGTCTGCTAAATATATTTAAATGCTATATTATTAGATTTCGCTTTTCAAGAGTTAAGTTGCTTTTTCTATAAATACTCACAATATTAAATATGCCAGCCTTTTACTCAGCCATCAGTTGTGTAAACATGCGTGGAAAGAATGTTGGAAATAATATATCTTTTTTTAGATTTCCAAAGGATAAAAACAGGTAAGTAATTATTAGTCAAATCAAATTTATAATATATCAAGAATTTAAAGAAGCTTTTAAAACATTGTTTTACTTTAAATTTTATGTAACAAAAAATATTTATACATAAATTGATGTAAATAATTCCACTAAATTAGTTAGGTTTAATCTTAAATATACTATTTGTAGTGAACATTTTGATTCTTTCCAATACTATCTTGTCAATAATGGTAGATAAAGAGCACTTGTAAGTGCTGTACCAACAATTTTTGACTTTCCAAATCAACCTTCTACCTTAAATTTAAAGAGAAAACAGCCTACAAACAGACTTTATTTACAGGATAAAATACAAAAAAAAAAAGAAATCAGCGATAAAGTCGAATTAAATTAAATAAATAGTGTTGAGAATAGCATTACAAATAATGTAACTGTCAAAACTACTTTTAAAAATAAATATTTATCATCTCAAGTTAAGATTTGTCGACAAGAGCTCTCAAATGTTTAATTTACAATTTTAACTACAAATTTCACATCCAACTACAGGAGAAAAAGTTTATATAATATTTGATCCACCACATCTTATAAAAAATGTTAGAAACAATTTAATAAAACATGATATTTTATCTGATGGTAAAATAATATTGTGGAAGCATTTGAAAGCATCATTATTTAGACAAGGTTAATGCTGTACGACTTGTGCCAAAGTTGACAGATCGTCATCTAGATCCAGGATCACTATTAGCCATGCGAGTAAATTTGGCAACACAAATTTTTAGTAGTCAAGTTGCTACTGCTTTGACTGAATACGCTTCTGCAAAACTATTGCCTGAAAATGTTTTGTCAACAGCCTTTTTTATTAAAAATATGGATGTTTTATTTGACATCTTGAACTCTTGTAAACTAAAAGCAGATAAATCAACACGCTCTGTTTTAACTCTAAATAGTAGTTTTATACAAAAGCTTGAAGATTTAAGAATTTGGATTAAGGGTTGGCATTTTACTGGTGCTTGCAGCCAAAAATGTATATCCAGTCATTGGGGTTTAGATGTCACTATTTCTAATATTCTTTGTCTTGCAAACAAGTTGCTTCATGAGGATTTTTTTCATGTTTGCGCAGCTCAATTTAATCAGGACTGTTTAGAAATTTTTTTTGCATTAATACGAAGCAAAGGAGGCTGGAATGACAGACCAACAGCAATGCAGTTTAAATCAGCATAAAATAATGTCTTAGTACTTCTTTTAATAGAACAATCTAACTCTAACAGTAATTGTCTCCCTGAATCAGATTTCTCAGTTGCAGTTACCATTGACTCAATCACCAACATAGTATTTGAGAATCAAATTTCTGCTAATGGTTAATTGATTTTCAAACATCCAACTGCATTATTTAAAAAGAAACAAAAACCTTACGCATTACAAAATGTTTCAACTGATTCAGTTTCACAGTCAATTAAACAGGTTTTGAAATTAATTGCAGATGATTTGATAAAGAAAGTTCAAGTCTGTCAAAAATGTGTACAAGTTCTTTCAAGTGTGACACCCTGTGAAAGTAACTTATTTAATTTTGATTCTTTTTTAAAGAACCTACTTCAAAGAAAGTTTAATCAGACACTATGTTTATATGAGAATATCTTATTATGTAAGGTTTTATAATCGTGATCTGGCACCACGAAACAAGACATGTAAAAACAAGTTAGCTCGCATTATCCATGCTGATTTTATTTTAATGATAATTCTTGAAACAAGATATTTATTATTATTGTTGTTTTTTCTCTCAGTATTATTAACTATATATTTAGCATCTAATTAAGGAATATATATTTAAACTAATATGGGGTATCAGGCCTTGTGATGAATAAAAACTGCGCGACGCTTAAGCATGACATGATTTTTGATGTCATTAAAATCTTTTTATTTGCTTTTCATATTTTTATCGACATTAACTGCACCAATTTACTTAATTACCGCTATACTACTTTAAATCGTTAATGTAGAAATGTTATTATTTAAAAATGTTTTGGAATGCTTCGATTTTTAAAATGTAAAAACATTTGTTTATTTTCTCGACGTTTGACATGTTTTGTCTATACTAAACAAATAAAAACATTATAACTAAACATTTAAAAAAGATTATAAAATATGCTAATATTTGATTTTTTTTTTCTCAAATATGTAATTTAAAGTTTTTCAAATAATTATTTTTTCTTTTTAAAAAGTCAGCAAGTAATAAACTGGAATATAACCAGGTTATATAAACTTATCAAACTATTGATAAGTTTATATAACCTGGTTATATTCCAGCACTTTTTCGACTCAAATTGTTGTTGTTTTTTGTAAGGATATTATTTTTGTTTTAATAAATAAAAAATTACTTTTTTTCACTTGTGTTTCATCATATTTCGAAATATGTTCGATTATGAGCTAAAAAATAATAATTATGGTTTATAAAAAATGTTATTCAAAAATGCATTTTTATTGTTTTTATAAAATTTCTCTTTCAATTAAATGTGCAACAAAAGTCTATCTACAGTTTGTCTATCTACAGTTTGTCTATCTACAGTCTATCAAGTCTATCTACAGTCTATCAAAGTTATGTAATGCAACAAAATTAAAATTCAGATTTCAGTTGAATTCAGACTTGCAATACAAGTTCAGAAACTTAAAGCATAAAATTTAAAATATAGGTATTTGTTTGCAAATATGTGCAAATGTGCAAATAAATAAAAAATAGTTATCATAACAATTTAATTTTAAAGTTCTCAATTTTAACTGATAACTCTGATCTTTTCATTAATTAATGTAAAAAAGTATTTGCTTATTGTTAGTGTCCATACAAATAGTTTTTAAAGAATTTATGTTACAGAAATACTTATTTTGAAATACAACTAATCTCCAACAATTGTTAATATAGCTTGCTTACGCTAATTTCAATCATTTTTTTTGTAGAATAATTAAATATTTTTCTTAGAGATATTTTATAAATAAAATACTTATAATTTTTTACAATTTTTTTTAGCTACTCTGCACCTTTGTATGTAGATATTTCTAAAACAATTACCAGAAGTGGTCAGGAACCAGAAACTGAAGAACACAGCAAAATATACATTGGAAAAATACCTATTATGTTACGTTCGACGTATTGTGTTCTTAGTGGTCTTGTAGACCGTGACTTAACTGAATTAAATGAATGTCCATTAGACCCTGGTGGATATTTTATTATAAATGGTTCAGAAAAAGTATTGATTGCTCAAGAAAAAATGGCTACCAACACTGTTTATGTTTTTCATAAAAAAGACTCAAAGTATGCATATTCGTGTGAGATAAGATCATGTTTAGAGCAGTCATCAAGGCCTACGAGTACAATGTTTATATCTATGTTAGCAAAAGGTGGTGGAGGAGGAGCTAAAAAAAGCGCAATAGGACAGCGTATTATTGCAACAATTCCTTATATCTGTCAAGAGATTCCTATTATGATTGTTTTTCGTGCACTTGGATTTGTTTCTGACCGAGATATCTTAGAGCATATAATCTATGATTTTACTGATCAAGAAATGATGGAAATGGTTTAATTTTTTTTTTAATTTTCATTTTATTTTATACAATCAAGTTTAAAAATTTTTTTTATACTTTTTAAAAGTTTTGGATTTTTTCGTATTGTAATAGATTTTTTCTTTAAAACTGTTTAAATTATGACTAAATTATTTTTAAATCATTTGACCAAAATAAGGTAAAACCATCGCTTGATGAAGCCTTTGTTGTCCAAGAACAAAATGTTGCATTGAATTTTATCGGAACACGTGGTGCAAGACCAGGTGTTACAAAAGAAAAACGTATTAAATATGCAAGAGAAATTCTACAGAAAGAAATGTTGCCACATGTGGGTACAAGTGATTTCTGTGAAACAAAAAAAGCTTATTTTTTAGGGTAAGACAATTTATACAAGTTGCTTTCTAGATCAGTGGTTGTTCTAGAAGATTTGTATTTCAGATTTTATATTTCTGAATTTGACTAAGTTTTTTAGTCAAATAAGTTGTTTTTTAAAACTTAAAAAACAACTTATTTGACTAAAAAACTTATCAATGTGGTTTAAGAATTTTCAATATGAATTTTTTATGCAATACATGTTATTGAAGTTTTGTTTGTTATTTTTTATATTATATATTAACTTAGATATATGGTTCACAGAATATTATTAGCAGCTCTTGGAAGAAGAGAACTTGATGATCGTGATCACTATGGAAACAAGCGTTTAGATTTAGCTGGTCCTTTGCTTGCTTTTTTATTCAGAGGGTATAATATTTTATGCAATAATATTTATTTTAATTTTGCATATGACTTAATTATTTTATTTCAAACAAACAGGTTGTTTAAAAATTTAATGAAAGAGGTTCGTCTGTATGCTCAAAAGTTTATTGATAAAGGTAAAGATTTCAAGATAGAGTTGGCTATAAAAACCAAAACAATAACAGATGGATTAAGGTATTCTCTCGCTACTGGAAATTGGGGTGATCAAAAAAAAGCTCACCAAGCTCGTGCTGGTGTGTCCCAGGTATTAAATAGATTGACGTTTGCTTCAACGTTATCACATCTTAGGAGGTTAAACTCTCCGATCGGTAGAGATGGTAAATTAGCAAGACCTCGTCAATTGCACAATACTCATTGGGGAATGATCTGTCCAGCAGAGACTCCAGAAGTAGGTGATAATTTTTTGTCTAATTTTAGATAATTAAAACAAACCTTTTACCAATGAAATTAAAGTATTAATAACTTTAAATAGTTTTTAAATAGAGTTTTGCTTATTTTTAATAGGGTCAAGCTGTTGGATTAGTAAAAAACCTTGCTCTTATGGCATATATATCAGTTGGTTCTCAACCAAGTCCTATTTTGGAATTTTTAGAAGAATGGGCAATGGAAAATCTTGAAGAAATAAGTCCTTCTGCAATAAAAGAGTTTGATTTTTTTTTTGTATTATTTATTTTTTAAAAATACATAATTTTAGAATACTTATGTTCACTTAGCTAATACTTTAACATATTTAGTGCTACAAAAATATTTGTGAATGGGTGCTGGGTTGGAATACATCGTGATCCTGAACAACTTATTTTGACACTAAGAAGATTAAGAAGACAGATGGATATCATTGTGTCTGAGGTAAGGATTGTAAATGAACAGTAACAGTATAATGATCTTCAGAGTTTTATAATGATCTTAATGATTTATAATAATCTTTAATTAATTATAAAAAGTATTTAAAAAAATTTTAAATTAGTAATCTTTTTTACTTCATTTTTGAATTACAAAATAAAGCATTTCTCAAAACCTTTTGTTATCCGAAAATTACCAAAGTAAAAGTTTATTTAAATTTTTTGGTAATTATTTTATATGAAAGTAAACTTTTACTATAAAGGTTTATTAACTTTAACAATAGTTTGTTAATGTTTTTGTGTTTCAAACTTTTTTTTTTTTTTTTTTTAAATTTAGCTACATTTTTAAAAATAAAAATACTTGGATAAATTGAAAAAAATAATTTATTTTTCAAATTAAAAGTTAAAATTAAAGTAATTTTGACAGAAAATCTTTTTTACATTTATTATTTAAATATTATATTCAGCTTTCGATAAACATTTGTTACTTTCATTTTCATTCATTTACAATGCATCATAAAATAGTTAATGGTCTAATTGACCTTTAAAGACACAGCTCTTACTGTAAGAAAATCCAACAGCTCAGTTGTATCTTCTGATCCACTCATATCTTGTAAACAACTAAACTTATCAAAACATTCTATCATATTGCCATAATTCAATTGTATTTTTTTTTTTTTTTTTTGTACTGTATTTTACTTTTTATATACCATCAACTCAATTGTTTGACTAAAAGCCATTTTACTTGTAAAATGATTTTATTGTATAATGGCCCAAATTCTTCTGATTCTAGTTCATTGTTTCAAAAGTGAACTATTTCTTTTGATTTCATATTTATCAAATTATTTGATAGCAGCTTTTATTGTTAGCCAACAAATTATTTTAGATTTTCGAAGACAATTATGAATGGTAGAAGATTAATTTCTGCACAGCAACCTTATCAAAAGTACTACTCTGTCATTTGCTTTCATTACTGTTGTGACACCATACACAGCTATGATAGCTGTCACAAACCGTTTTTGAATTTTTTTTTTAAAGGTTGACTATCTAGAAGTCTCTTTTTCTCAGCTTTATTTTCTAATGTGAATGAAATGACAAAAAAGCTTCTGAGACCTGAAATAAGTCTTTCACTACACCAAAAATGAAGCTTTAACTAAATATATATCCCTGAATTTCGATGCATTGAATGAAAAATATCTACTATTTCAAAAGAAAGAAAAAAGGAATATTGATATTACATTTGTGCCAGCTTTTATTTGGGTGTTTAATTTTTTACTGTCATTTCTATGATACTTTGAGATTTGTATAAAATATTTTCCTAAGGTTTCTATGGTTCGAGATATACGTGATAAAGAAATACGAATTTACACAGATGCTGGGCGAGTTTGTCGTCCACTTCTTATTGTAGAAAATCAAAAATTGCTTTTAAAGAAAAGTCACGTGGATCAGTTAAAAGAAAGAGAAATGAACAATTTTGGGTGAGAATTTATTAAATATTGTCAAATTTTATTCTAATTTTAAATCCAAGTTTCTAAGTATTTTTCCTTACTCTTAAATCCAGTTTTATTTTAAATGTTTTTTAATTACATTAAAAAAAAGAATATGAGAAAAGCATAATAGTGAGAAAAGCAAAAAAATGAGCAAAACAAAATAAATTGAAATAAAATCTTTATTATTATTAACTATTATATATTGATCTTTTGTAAAACATTGCTTACTTTGAATGGTTAAAAAGGATCTTAAATGCTGCTGTTACCTAGTGACTACTATAAGTGGTGTAAAACTCAATTTTAAATCAAGGGTGTGGAGTCATTAAAAAAAAGTAACAACTTCAACTCCGACTCCAGTTGTTGGAATTTTTTGAGTGCAACTCCGACTACAACTTCAATGCAAAATTTTTGAAAAACTCTTTGAATTTTTCAAAAAATATTACACGATAAGTTAATAAATTTTTTTATGACAAATTTATGAAACGTTCTTTGAGGTTTAGTATGAACATAAGGTTAATTAAATGTTTTGTACATAAACGTTCAATATCAAGAAGTTTTACGATTGGAGTCGGAGTTGCAATTTTGTTTAGCGACTCCGACTCCGCTAAAAATGTTGCAACTCCAACTCCGACTTCACAGCCCTGTTTTAAATAATATTATTTTAAAGGAAAATGGTTATACATGTCAATGAAAGAAATTAAAATGTTCAATGGATAGCTTCTTTTTTCTTTTTTTATAAGGTTCAATGAAAAAATAAAATTATAAACAAATTAAAAAGTTGCCTTGAAGTTATGCATAAACCTGTTAGTTAATGAACTTGTCTATCCCTAATTCAATTTCGCATTTTTGTGAAGACTTAATTTGGCAGTAACAGGTAGTTTTTTTTATCTTGTCTGAAAAGTTTTTTTTATTTTGAACATAATCAAAATAAAATCATCATAAGTTCATATAAGGCATTCTTCTGTTTGTACTGTATTTATCTCCATTACATCAAAAAGGGATACACTATTTTTCATTTACCAGGGAAATTGATCTTGAATTCAATCAATGCACCCTTTTTGATTTCAATAGTTACTATATCTAGGGTTACTTTTTAAATAACTTTAAATTAAACTTTTAGCTTGTGCAGTTAAGTTAGTAATTGCATCGTTTAAAGAGCATTTATATAATTGTGAATTAAAAACCTTTTTTAGAGTTAGTTTTAGTATCTTTTTTTCATCTTTTTTTTGACTTTAAATACCAAGTTCACAGGGCAGCTTCCCATTATGCCACTTTTCCAATACTTGGTCAGTTTACTGTTTGCCTCTACATGCTGATCCAATTAGCATGTAGGTGTGAAGATGTACATTTTAAAATATTAAAAGTACACATCATTGATTAAATACAATTACAAATAATAAAAACCAACTAATATTTTAGAGAGCAAATATGTTTAAATATTTTTATTACCTAAATCATGTTTTGTTATGTTGTTAGAAAACCATCAAATTACTTATTTCGATATAAAGATGATTCTTGTTTTATTAATTCATCGCATATTATTCATTTAATTTTATCATGCATTATATTATTATTCATTATATTATCATTCATTTGTTACTATTTTACTTCAATAATTATTTTAAAAATACTTTAGCTGGCAAGATTTGGTCAGTAAAGGTGTTGTTGAGTACATTGATGTTAATGAAGAAGAAACTGCTATGATAGCAATGAGTTTAGAAGATTTAGAAGAGCGTGAACATAAATACTCTTCAACATATACTCATTCAGAGATTCACCCATCAATGATACTTGGTGTATGTGCTTCCATTATTCCGTTTCCTGATCATAATCAGGTAAGTAATCCTTTTTTTTTTAAATATTTTTTAAATTTTTACTGTTTGTTTAATTTTAAGCATAAAACATTTGTTTAGTCACCTCGTAACACTTATCAATCTGCTATGGGTAAACAAGCCATGGGTGTTTATATAACAAACTTTCATGTACGTATGGATACACTTGCTCATGTTTTATACTATCCACAAAAGCCTCTAGTTACTACCAGATCTATGGACTTTTTAAAGTTTAGAGAACTTCCTGCTGGTAATTCTTTAAATTATTCAAATGGTTTTTATAAATTTGAATATTAAGTTTTAATATTTGATTGGATTTTCAACATAATCTGTTTTTAAAAATAATATTATGAAGAATGTTTGTCAAATTTTAAAACAATACAGAAAACAATACAGAAAGGAATGAGTGAAATTATTAATTATACCATCTTATTTTCTAGACACAAAAATCAATTAATATATGTTTATCTTATTTCTAGATATATTGTGTAGATCTTCTACAAAAAAAAAAAAAAACAAGTTCTCTGCTATGATATAAATTTTTATTATCTTTCACACAAAATGTTGTGTAATACTAAGTTTTATTTTAAGAATTAAGTTTAGATTTTTAATAAATAAAAGTTTTCTTAGTAATCATTTTAAGATAAAACTTTTTCATCATATTTTTCAAAAACACTTTATCTGTAAACTTATGCTAAGCATTTTCTTTAAATAAATTTTGCACTTATAAGGATGAACAGATAAAAATATTCGTTTAAAATATTCTTAGCTTTATTCATGATCTTTAATTATGTGGAATACATCACAACTTTTATTATGGCGATACTTTTCAAAATCAGTTATAACAGCCAACATCTACAGGACAGCACAGTCTAATATACAGAAAACTTAAAACAATAATTTAAAATATTTACTGTCAGTATTTTCAGTAATAAAAAATAGCCAACTAGTATAACAGCCTAGCTCTACACACACTGCAAGTCTTTGCTTGGCTAGTTTAACAGCTTAGCTCTACACCCACTGCAAGTCACAGTATCTGCTTGGTTAGTTTAACATATATATGTTAACAAAAAGAAATAGCACTTTGCTAAAAAAAACAGTCATTTTTAACTTCTTAAGACTAGGCTAAGTAAAATAATCATTCCGTTCAGAAAAGTATAGTCACTACTTAAAAATGATGAGACAATTGTAAATATTAAACATTAACTGCAGTATTAATATTTGATTATATCGTATATATTTGTATATATAAATATACATACATACACATACATACATACATACATACATACATACATACATACATACATACATACATACATACATACATACATACATACATACATACATACATACATACATACATACATACATATATATATATATATATATATATATATATATATATATATATATATATATATATATATATATATATATATATATATAGATATATATATATATATATATATATATATATATATATATATATATATATATATATATATATATATATATATATATATATATATATATATAAGACGTGCGATTTCACTTCTTTATATGACCACGCAAATTACATTTTGCTATAACGGTTTGACCGCGGCTAATTCAAAAAACATTTTTGAAATGCGCTAAATAAAAAATATTCTAAAAAAGTGAAATTAATTACATCAAAACTTCTTAACAAATGTTTTTATATTAGCGAAATTTATGTTTTAAATTTTAATTTAAAACATAAATTGTTTAAGTGTTTATTTCTAAAATAAATCTTATTAAAAAATAAAAAATTGTTTTGTTTTTATAAACGATGACATTCTACGACTACGAAAGTCTCTTTAACGAATTTAAATATAAGAATGATTAAAGTTAATGCATTTAAAAAGATAAACAAAATTTCGTTAAAAAAAAAGATCTATAAAACCGTTACAATTTAATAAGTTTGATCTTAAATGCTTTTATATTATCGAAACGCTTTCAATGAAGTAAAAAAAAAAACACTTCTAATTAATTTAAAAAAAAGTATTTATAAAATATTTTTTTATTTTATTTATATAACTATGTATTTTTTATGAGAAATATTTAACTTTTGAACATATTAAACAAATAAAAAATATACAAAAATGTTGAATCAAAGATTGAAAGGGTTTTTTAATGCGTAAATAAAATAGACTAAGCATTTTAGTTTAATGAGTTTTGTTTTAGTTGGGTTATATATATATATTTATTTTTTTGTGTTTTTGCTTTAACTAAGTTTTTTTTTTTATTTTCTCTTTCGTTAAGATTTATTTATTTTTTTAAATTTTTTTTCCAGATAAGTTTAGGTAAGTTTTTGTAACGCCTTTTTAAATTTTAAAAATGTGCCGTGGTCAAATCGTTAAAACATTTTTTTTTTGCGTGGTCATATAAAGACATAATATCGCACGTCTTCCTGTGAAAGCCTGATATATATATATATATATATTATGCAGTCAATTTTGATTGTATTTTCTAGTTAAATAATAGCATAAGTACTAAAAGTACTCATGCTACAATTTTATTGTTTATTGTTTAGGGATTAATTCAATTGTTGCTATTGCTTCTTACACTGGATACAATCAAGAGGATTCTGTGTTATTAAATGCTTCTGCAATCAATAGAGGTTTATACAGGTATTTATTTATGGGTTATTCTATTCTAAATGTTGAAAAATGTTTTTAGACTCCTTATGGATCGTTTTTGATTTTACTGACACTTTTTTGATATTGTACATATATATGAGGAAAGTAAGTCCTGAAAATTTCAAATCAATATCTGTCATTCTTGAAAAAACTTTAATTAAATAGTTGTGCATAAAATTTTCCTCTTTTCACTTGAACTAATAAGATTTTCTAAAAGTTATGCCAATGTTAATAACGAGTATGTATGTCTTTTGCATTATGCATTATGTTTTCTTTTTTCATATATTTTTGTATATATTATAAACCGATTGCATCCATTTGGATTAAATGGGTGCAATGGGTTTATATTAAAATTTTTTCCAGGTAATAGTGCAATTATAAAAATGTAATTACAAAATTAAATATTTTTATGGGGCGACTGAATAATTGCGAATTTCATAAATGCGAACTGGCATAAGTGCCAATGGAGTAAGCGCGAACTGGCATAAGCGCGAATTGGCATATGTGCAAACTGGCATAAGTGCAAAGCAGTTACAAAAACTGGCTTAAGTGCGAACTGGCACAACTGCGAATTGGCATAAGTGCAAGTTACTAATTTGCAAACATTGGCATAAGTGCGAACTGGCATAAGTGCGAAGCAGTTACAAAAACTGGCATAAGTGCGAACTGGCATAAGTGCGAGTTACTAATTTGCAAACATTGGCATAAGTGCAAACTGGCATAAGTGCGAATTGGCATAAGTGCGGCAAAACATTTTGCAAACATTGGCATAAGTGCAAACTGTCATAAGTGCGAAGCAGTTACAAAAACTGGCATAATTGCGAACTGGCATAACTACAAATTGGCATAAGTGCGCCAAACAAATTTGCAAACATTGGTATAACTGCGAACTGGCATAAGTGCAATTGCATAACTGCGAATTGGCATAAGTGCATTGGCGAACTGGCATAAGTGCATTGGCATAACTGCGAATTGGCATAAGTGCCAGTTACTAATTTGCAAACATTGGCATAAGTGGGAACTAGCATAAGTGCGACTTGGCACAAGTGCGAGTTACTAATTTGCACTTACGCCAATATTTGAAATTTTATTCTGCACACTTATGCCGATTCGCACTTATACCAGTTTGCACTTATGTCAGTTTTTGTAACTGCTTCGCACTTATGCCAGTTCACACTTATGCCAAGTTTGCAAAATGTTTTGGCTCACTCATGCCAATTCGCACATATGCCAGTTTTTGCAACGCTTCGCACTGTCGCATGTCAGTTCACTTCGCATGTCAGTTCACTTCGCATGTCAGTTCACACTATGTTCTCACTATGCCAATTCGCGCTTATGCAGCCTCCTGATTTTTTTGTTTGTTTAAAAAAATATGAAAAAAGAAAATAATAATTTAATAATAATTTTAAAAGAATAATTTATTTACTTTAATGAACAAATAATCATAATTTAGAAATATTTGTTTAAATGTTATATTGAAAATACTATTGCATAAAATACTGATATACCAGTCAGAGTTGTTAATCCTTGGCCTTGGCCTTGGTCTTGAAACTGTTGGCCTTGGCCTTGCTCTTGAAAATTTTAGCCTTGGTCTTGATTGTTTTGGCCTTGGCCTTGGCCTTGAAAAAAAAAATACATATTTTTTATTAATTTTTGCAATACGTTAATTGGCCTTAACGTATTGCAAAAGTTTTAATTTAACTTTTGCAATACGTTAATTGGCCTTAACGTATTGCAAAAGTTGTAGTCTTAAGACTTAAAAATTTTTGCGTAGTTTTACTTAAGGTAAAAACTTCAAATATATACTAATTAATTCTCATGTTTTTATTTAAATCATAAATTTCATTTAAATAATTTAATTTTGACTAAGCAAAATTTTCAACCCCCTTTAATTTAGGGGCTTGTAAATTTGATATGGTCGCCATTTTAAAATAATTTTTGATTTTTGGATGAAACTTGACTTTTATTAATAAACTTTGCTCTACTTTAGAATGACATTTTAATCAAAAATCAAAATCCACCTGTCAAATATGATCCATAATGGCATCTGCACTCCTTTAAAGTTTTTTGAAAATTTTTAAGTAGACAGCTACCATTATGGATCATGTTTGAACAGGTAAAAAAAGATAAAATTTAAACGGCCTTGAAACTCTTAATCTTGTCCTTGACCTCAAAACTCTTGGCCTTGTCCTTGGCCTTCTAACTTGTGGCCTTGGCCTTCTAACTTGTGGCCTTGGCCTTGCTAATTTTAGCCTTGTTAACAACTCTGATACCAGTTTTTAATAAAAATATATTAACTTAAACCAAAAATAAATTTGATTTTGTTGAAATTTTATAGAAAATAAGTATATTTAATAGTGTTTTTTCAAAAACTGCATAATATATTATTCTGAAATTCTCAGGACTTGTTTTTCTTATATGTACCTACTCAATAAGTTTTAGCAGGTTCTAAGGTGGACCACAAGGACCTATTGCTCCATTTGGCATTATATGACCCTTATGTTAACTTTTTTTTTTTATCTAAGTATTTGTTAAATGTTAATGTCCAATTTTAGTTTATTAATTTAAAAATGTTTTACTTATTGAACGGTTTTTTATTGTTTTTAATCAAAGCAAGAGTACCCATTTATCATTAAAAATATTATTTGAATATACAGATCAGTATTTTATCGATCATATCGAGATGAAGAATCAAGGAAAGGATTAGATCAAGAAGAAAAATTTGAAAAACCAAACCGAGATGAAACAACCGGTAACATAAATTTTATTTTTCTATAAGTTTGAACTTTTTGTATCTAAAAAAATTTATTTTGTAAATATTGTTTTACAAAAAATTTTTTATTAAAGTTATTTTTTTTGTTTTGCATTAAGACATTAATTAATGAATCTTTTTATCATATATGATTAAAATTTTCATTTTTAAAGATAAATAATCTGTTTTAAAATAGTAGATTTTAAAACTTGTTGAATTGATTCTATTAGTTCTCACTTCTTACTTTGAGACTGAAAGTTAACTGTTTTTTATTCATTAGTTATGATTTTTTACCTCTATTTCTCAAATAATCAGTTATTATCAATACAGGTTATATACTGTATATATTTATTATCTTATTGAACATTATATATTTAAATATTGTTGGAAGATTTTTAAGAATTTTTTAATCTTTATAACTTTTAATTTTAAAAAACCTTTTTAAATAAAAAAACCTTTTTAAATAAAAAAACCTTTTTAAATAAAAAAACCTTTTTAAATAAAAAATACTTTTTAAATAAAAAATGCTGTGAATGTTGTCTGATTTAAATATTTTGATTTGATTATTGAAACAATATTCTGTAAGACCAATTATTGAATGTTCAATTAAATGTCATTCAACTTTGTATTCAAGCATTTTTGCTGCATTAAAATAAACAAGTTATTATAGAATAGGTTAAGAATAAGTGGATACACGGGTTTTATTTTAAATGTCTCCTATGGCTTTAGATTAAATAGTAATTTACCATCATAGTATTTTGTATGATTTTATAAAACAAGAAAATTAAAAAAAAAAAAGTTAAATAATTTTTTTTTTTAATTCACAGTGACATGACTTTATTGTGTTAATTTTTTAATAAATAATATTTTTTTAAAAATCTTTAATCATTCTGTAAGTTAACTTTTTTAGATTATTATCAAAAAATATCTTGAATATTTATTTAAAATATATATATAAGATATATATATATATATATTTTTGAAATCATCTTCAAATCTTTTTTTCAAATCTTCTTCAATTCTTTATTTTATTTAGGTATGAGGGCGGCAATATATGATAAACTTGATGATGATGGTCTAATACCTCCAGGCTCAAGGGTTAGTGGAGATGATGTTATTATTGGCAAGACAGTCACATTGCCAGATGATGAAGATGAAACTGATAGCCAAGCTAAACATTTTAAAAAGAGAGATGCAAGTACTTTCTTAAGGGCCAGTGAAACTGGAATTGTTGATCAAGTCATGCTTACTATAAATGAAGAAGGTTATAAATTTTGCAAAATAAAAGTGAGTTTATTTTATTTATCTTTTTATCTCTTATCCACAATTAAATTGGAGGTATTATACCAGAATTTTATCTACGAGAAAACCTCCAATTTAATTGTGGATAAGGGTAGGATGACCTCATAAACTTTCAATGATAATTTTCCTAGTGGTAGTATCAACAAAAATACTTAATTCTAATCTGAAAAATAAATGAACACTAAGAAACCCATTTATTTGTAAAAAACTGGTTCAACCCTTTCATAATACCATATTTTAAATAAGAGAGTGTATTTTGATATAGAAAGTAGAATTTATTAAGCCTATCCAAAGGTATCACCCAAATCATCCAAAGGTATCATTTAAAACATATAAAGGTATAATCTAATCTTAATCACATAAGTTTAAAACCAAAACCAGTCTTCATATCCCAAGATATAATCTACATTATAACCACGTTTTTACACCATACACACTCACCATAACCAAGTTTGGAACCATGAACATTACACATGAACACTTTAAATAAAAAAAGAAAATTTTTAAATAGATTTTTTTTGTCAACTAATGCTTAGATCAAGTAGTCTTCTCTATTTGAAATTTAATGCCAGCGCACGAAAAGTGCTGGCAGGATGGTCATTTTTAAGTTAGCCTGCGCGATTTAAGAAATTTTTTTTTTCCTGCTATTCAAATTAAAATAAAAATAGCAAAAATAATGCTTTAAATAAATACTTGATAAAAAAATTTTTAAAAAAAAGCCTTTTTTCATAAAAGTTAAACAAATGAACAAAAAAGTTTTTTTTATGCGCTTGCTAAAGATTTTCTGGCGTGTGGGCAAGGGCAAAAAGACAGTGCAAAAGCACTGGCTAAATGGAAAAGACTGATCATGTTTTACAATGACTCTGCTTATAAAGAACATGTTTACATATAGATGACTGCTTATTTATGCTGAATTATTATTATCTTTATTGATTTACAATGATTTATGTTGAATGTTTTATTTTTATTTATTTATCATCATTTTACTACAATTAGTAAGTTTAATATTTAATGTTGTAGAACGTTTTTTATTTATTATTTTTTTATATGATTATTCTTGGCATAGGTTCGGTCAGTACGCATTCCTCAAATTGGTGACAAATTTGCAAGTCGTCATGGACAAAAAGGAACCTGCGGCATAACATATAGACAAGAGGTTAATAGAGATTTTGATTTTATTAGTATTTTTTATTATTTTGAAATTATTTGTGTAAAGCTGCAGTGATTTATCCTTAGGATATGCCATTTACATGTGAAGGAATTTCTCCAGATATTATCATAAATCCGCATGCTATCCCTTCTCGTATGACCATTGGACATTTGATAGAATGCTTACAAGGAAAGGTATTTTGTAATTAGTTTCTTTCTTTATTATTTATAACTGTATAAATTGTTAACTGTATAAATTGTCTTGTTACTTATCTTCTATAAGAATGTCCTGTGTTTACCCAAAGATACCTTCTTTTTACCCTTAAGTCTGGCGAATTATGACACTTAAATTCATAATTATCTTCGGAACTACAAGTTCTGACTCAAAATCATTTTGGGAACTAAAAAAATATGTGAGAAAAAACAGATCTAAATAAATATGTGAGAAAAAACAACAACTAGATATTTACTAGCATACAAAATAGTTAAAGATTTATTGATTTTGTCTAGTAATTACCCTTTTTCAGGCTTTGTAATAAAGAAAATCTGTGATGTTTTGCACCCATTGAACTGAAATATGTTGTTATTAAACATGGTCATGCATTACTCGTCATTAAGTTATCAAGAGCAATCTTTTTATATTGCATATTGGTGTTACCAACACTAGTAAAAAGTGTATGTATATATATATATATATATATATATATATATATATATATATATATATATATATATATATATATATATATATATACAGGCTTGGTCGGGAAGCGGGAGCGATCGCTCTCGAATACTGACCACGGAAATTATATTCAGTTGCGTAAAACTGGCCAGGTTTTTTAGTTGTTTTGAGAACATTTAAGTTTATGTACGAAACACAGAATTTTTGTTTTACGGACATACATGGAAACATAATAAACTAGAATGTTCTCAAATTATCTTCGTGCGAAAGAATAAAAAGAATATTTGCGAACACTAAAAACCCGCCAAATTAACAAACAAACTAATTCTATTGGTTCAAAAAATACACTGGATTAAGCGAAATAAAGTTCTAGAGTATTCTGTTAAAATGTTTTAGAAATTGTATTATTCACGATTTGTTACGTTTTGAGATTTCTAGCATTGTTTTAAGAATACATATTATTTGTTTACGAAAATAAATGTTTTAAATATATATAAATTAAATTGTCAACATTTTAAAGGTTTATTATAAATCATAGATTTTATTTGTATATTCTTATTTTTTATTTTAAAAGAGATTGTATTCTTTATGTAAATGTAATTTTGTGTATCTGTTTTTTATCGTAATGTCTTTTGATCTTTTGAAGCAATTTTTATGATTTAAACAAAGACTTACAAACATAATTGCATTTTCAAAGTTATAATCGTTAAAGTTAATAAAACTAATTATGTAACGAACGTATAAGAAGTTTCTGGTTACTAAACACAAACAACGCATACAAAGTAACTCGCGGATGAACAAGCATCGCACCTGAGGTCACGACAGAACACAAATATATAATAGCAAATAATTAGATATAAAGAAAAGTTTCTAGATATTGGTTTACTAACTCTAATTATTTTCGCTTAAGTTGCCATTCTTAAAACTCGTTATACTTTTTTCTGCTTTAAATACTAATTAAAATTAAAAAGCCCACTCACTAAACATCATCAGCGATATTGTGAAGCAGTTTCGCTTCCTGGTCATTAAGTATTTTTAACCTTTTTAGTTGATTTCTATCTTGATAATTTAATTCCTATAGTAATTCAATGATTTAATTATTTCATTTGTTTATCTTACTAAGAAGAATCGCTTTAAATATGTTAAACTTTTCTAACTACGCGAAACATAAAATAGGTATTTAAAAAATTAACTTTTTTATTTATAAAATAATTTAGCTTAAGTAAAACTAAATCGTGCAAACTTAGTTAAATAAAGAATATTTGTTTCCCTTTTAAACAATCGTAAGTTGTTACAAAAAACATCGCTAAATTTTATAAAAAAAATTATAAAAAAGCGATGTTTCGAAAATATTTGTTTTAAATGTAAATTATTTAGCTTAAAGTTTTTTCGCTTTTAAAGATATTTTATTTGCCTACTTTTTTTTTTTTTTTTGTATTTGTCTCTCATCGGTCTAATTATTCTTTGTCGCTTTTTTTTTTTTTTTTTGCTTTTTAAAATGTTCTCAAAACGACTAAAAAATCTGGCCAGCTTTTCGCAACTAAATATTATTTACGTGGTCAGCAATCGAGAGCGATCGCTCCCGCTTCCCGACCAAGCCTGTATATATATATATATATATATATATATATATATATATATATATATATATATATATATATATATATATATATATATATGGCATTCTTAGATCTATATATATTTTGAAATGTAACATAAGAAGTTCTTAAATTTTAAATTTTTCTTAAAATTTTTTTATGCAAAATGGTTTTAAAATTTAAAAACACTATTTTAAAACTATCAAGTTTTAGTTTTCTTATTTTTATTTTCTACTACTACTAATTTTCAAGTGCTTTTTATAAGTTTTGTAATAGTAAGCATTTAATTCAATCATTTAGTAACTGAAATTGGTCATTGGTTTTTTTTAATTTTGAAGGTCACCCATCATGACCCCTGTTTACACACTGGCTCCAATATATTAGTGATTTTTTTTTTTTTCTCCAAAAGTATGTCAACCTGGGTCTCGAAAGAACCAGAATTTTATAGTGATTTCAAAATTTATAATCTTTTCTACTAAAACGTTTTTTTTTTAAGCAAATTACACACAAATGTCATAAAAAAACGATCTTTTCAATTTTTAGATAAAAATTGTTTTTTTTTTGTATATAAAATTTAAGTAATTCACTTTTATTTGAAACCTTTGTTATTTCTGAAATCCCTATGAAATTCAAATGTCTCAGTTTTTTTTTTTTTTTTTTTTTTGTATATATATAAACTTTTTTTTTTAATTATGTAAAAAAGCAATTTTTTCTAGGTTTCTGCAAACAAAGGTGAAATAGGTGATGCAACACCATTTAATGATGCTGTCAATGTACAACTTGTTTCCAGCTTATTACAAGAATATGGTTATCACTTGCGTGGAAATGAGGTCTTATTATTTTTTCTAATTCTATATACAAAATTTAAAAAAAAAAGAAAAAGAATTAGAACATTTTTTATTTAGGTTTTATATAATGGCTTCACAGGACGCAAGTTGAATGCTCAAGTTTTTCTCGGTCCAACTTATTATCAGCGCTTAAAACACATGGTTGACGATAAAATTCACTCACGTGCCAGAGGGCCAGTTCAAATTCTTACAAGACAGCCTATGGAAGGTCGATCAAGGTGAATAGTTTATTATTATTATTATTATTTTGGCATCTTTAATTATTATACATTTACTGAAATAGACTACCCTTAAATAACTTTTTAGTGACATTATTAGAATTAAATAGATTTCATTACCTCTTTTATTTATGAATTGTACATCTTTAATTACCTCAATACCAAATTAAAATCTTCTGATGTATTTGATATAACCTTTAGTTTGTCACTGTAATTTATCATCATTTTTATATTCTCTGAAAATCTTATTTAAATATTTGGTAATATTATGATATTTTTCTTTAAATGTGGTGAGCATTTCTTTAATGAGACCATCATGACACTGCAAGAATGCATTATTTTCATTTAACTAAGTAATTAATACAGTTTTTGAAAATGAATCCATATGTTTCACTAATACTTAAAGTATCCACTAATAGTTTTCTATTTTAGAATTAACAAACAGAAAATGTACCACTGGGACTTGGCAAAATAAACTACAACATGACTTTCAAAATAAACTACAACATGACTTTCAAAATAAACTAGAACATGACTTTCAATTGTTATAGTTATTCTTTACCATTTCATGTGTGCAACACTTTTAACCATTTCATTAATGTGTGCAACACTTTTAACCATTTCATTTATGTTTGAAACACTTTCCTTTTACCATTTTAATAATGTGTGCAACACTTTTCTTTTAACCATTTGTTTTAGAAACAAATAGAAAATATTTTAGAGGAGAAATATTACAATTTAAAGATCGTTGATTTCCTCCTATGTTGATTTGTATGGTAATATTACAAAATAGTAAAAAAAGGTCAAATAGTAAAATAATTAATGTTTGTTCTTAATGCGACTTCGTTTAAAAATAAATTTTTTCTTCTCAACATTTTTTTTTTGAATTAATAAAGTTTTAGACGTATAAAATAATTTATAACTGAAAAAATTAAACAACAAATATATTGCAAAAATATATTAAAATTTTTATTTACAGAAAACATTTTGGAAATCTGGAAAAACTATATATAGAAAAAAATTTCTAAAAATCTGAATATATCCAGAAAACGATGATCCCTGAAATTTAACATTTCATTTCGAGAATATCATTAATATTTTTTTTTAATTCTGGGAACATAATTTTATTATTATTATTTTTTTATTGTTGTTTCTCTATTAGATAAAACAGTTTTGAAAATATTGTGATATCTTATGAAATTTTTATAAATTTTATGAAATCCAGGTCATTTACAGATTTTTAGAGGTCAATATTTGTCAACTTTTTTAGGCCTGAAATTTTGAACAAAGATTTTTCTCAAAAAAAGGAATCAAGTTTCAAAATACAAAATCAAACAAATGACACTTGATTCAACCTATTAGATGATTTAAAGCTTTTTAAAAAATATCAATAAAAAGTATTTATGGAGGCTTTTTTGTATTGATTGATTTTATAAAAACTGATTTTATTAATTATGATGTTAACTATTTATTTTTGTTAAAGTTTTTTATGTACCTTATGAAAGTTTTTTGAGTGATATTATTTTTGTTAAAGTTATTATTTTTATGTAACTTATAAAAGTTTTTTGAGTGATATTATTTTTGTTAAAGCTATTATTTTTATGTACCTTTTGAAAGTTTTTTGAGTGATATTATTTTTGTTAAAGTTATTATTTTTATGTACCTTATGAAAGTTTTTTGAGCAATATTATCAACACGATATCACAAGCATTTACATTTTTATACGTTTATATAAAACTTTTTATTTAAACACTAACTAGCAATTGAAATGACGGGATCCCTGCATTTTTTATAATTACCAAATCCAGGGATTGTTTAATATTAATCCTGGAATTCCCCAAGATTGAACAAAACAAAAGCATCTAAAAACAAAAACAGTTTATGTGTCTCAATAAAATAATTTAAAAATAGTATAAAACTGTAGAAAATAGTTGTATTTTTAGTTGTAGAACAAAATAGTTATCGAAAAGGTTTGATTTAGAGAAGAAGAAAAAGTGAAAATCTTCGCAATATATCATGTTGGTTAGTTATTCTGTTTTATTCTGTAATTCTGCAAAATAAACTTTAAGTTAAACTCAAAATTAAATAAGCATGGCATATGTGGATTTTACAATTTAAAGTTAAGCTGTTTGGAAATATTCTCTACAAGATGAGAAAAGCCAAAAGCGATGTTTAAATTTTCAAACTGCAAGGAGATTTTAAAAATCGGAGGTGGTTCAACAAATGACTTCATAAACATATGTTGTCTGTGTATAATGTGAAGGTACTTTTCTATTTATGAAAGGGAAGATAAAACACACTATGGTACACTTGCTTGCCTAATGACGTCTGACAGACTTTCATTTAATGTGATTTGTTCTTCAACAGATTTACATACCACTCTAACTTCTATGGTATTTAGAAGTAAACACAATTCGTAACAATGTAGAGTACAGCAAAAAAATTAGATTTAGTTCATCAAATTAAAGCGTGCAAGAAAACGGAATTCGTTGTAGGAGAGAGGTTACTTTGTCTTTTGACAAATGATGTAAATTAACATTAAATGATGTTCTTATTAAAAAGTAGAATTTGATGCAAATCAGCCAGAATTTGAAAATGAATTTTCTGAAAGTGATTTATCCGAGAATGACAAAGTTGAGGGAGATTTACTGGTCTACAATCATAAAAATATAATACCTAAAATTGAACTAAATGAATTTCATTATGGAACAGTCATAAAAAAATATACTTATATTTAGCCAATCACCTGCCAAAAATGACATCTTACTAAAATATATTAAGGCTGAAATTGAAAAATAACTGTCTTTAATAAATGGTTGTAAGACACGGTGGAACAGCCTTCTTTTAATGCTTAAACTGTTTTAGAAAGTAAAAAACTGTATACAAAAATCATTAATTGATATTTACTTAGTCTTAGATAATTATATAGCTCTGTCACATGATGAAGTGATAATATAATCAGAGATTATTACAGCTTAAGTTCTTATTAAAGCAATGGTTGAAGCACTTTATCATCAAGACTCTAACCTATTTACAGCCATAGCAATTAATTTTATACTTACAAAATTAATAGATGCTGGCAATAAAACAAGCAAAGAAATGTGTGCAGCTTTAATGGTTCATATGCATGAATGCCGAACTCATATGAGTAGACTACTGTAATACCTGTGTAATGGTCAAATCTCTGTTAAAGTCCATGATGTAATAGTTACAGTGCTTTCTTCATTTAAATGTCAAAAACCTTTAGTAGAAATTCTAGAAAGATTAAATGCTTCCATTCAGGCTCTAGTAAGAGCGTCATTAGATCCAGATATGCTGAATTTGATTAAGGAGCCTGAAATGGTACCTGAGTCTGTAAATAATCCTGTTGTAATTGTTAGAGTCTGTAAGTAATCTATTTGTAATTAATAGAGTCTGTAAGTAGTCCAGTTTGTAAGTAATCCTGATTGTGTTGTTATAGATGGATAATCACCGATGCAACCAGTTAGACAAAGAGACATAGTTACCAAAAATTCAAAAAAAAAAAATATTTGTAAATGGTGGTACACATGGCAATTATTTAGAAAGAGCTTATTCATATCTAATGGCGTTGAAACTGACAAGTGTCGAGGCTGACTGGGAATTTTCTTTCACTGGGATATTTAATACAAAAAATTGTAACTGTTTAGACAGTTTATGTAACTTTAGACACGTTGTGCTTCCTTAATTTACATTTCAAAATGCATAAAACATAATATAATTCCTTATTTCTAACATAGTTTTTTAACATTAATTTACATGTTAAATAAAGATATTTTTCTCTCTTGCAATTATTTTAAATTAACATGTTTTTTTCTAACCTGCCTTCATTTAATAAATATATTTTCGGTTAAAATTGTACTGTTTTTATTCTATTTAGTACTATGTAGATTTTATACTGTTTTTCAATCTTGGATCCCAGGATTGATGTTTTTCAATCCTGGGATTGAGAAAAACCTCCAGGATTGCAATCCCTAACGTAGCAAAAATGCCTTTTTGTTGTTTTTTATTTTATTTGATCAGATAATTTACTTCTTTTCTATTAAATAAGATAATGGTCATGATGATTTATCTTTTAAATATTTAGGGATGGTGGACTTCGTTTTGGTGAAATGGAGCGTGATTGTCAAATTGCTCATGGTGCTGCTCAATTTTTAAATGAGCGTTTGTTTGAAGCATCTGATGCATATCGTGTTCATGTTTGCAATCTTTGTGGGCTTATTGCTATTGCCAACCTCAGGAATAACACTTTTGAATGTCGCAGTTGCAAAAACAAAACTCAGGCAAGCTTAAGTTTTGATTTTTTTCTTTTTTTCTTTTAATAAATTAAAAAAAAAAAAAATAAATAAAATAATTTATATAAATTAAGTTCAGATTTTAAAATCAGAGTTTTAATTCAATTTTTTTTAATCAAAGGAATGCAAAGCAATTTTAAAATATGGCCCAATAAAAAATTTTAGAAAAATTTACATTTGGAAATTATTTGTTACTTATGCTTAAATTCTTTAACTGTTAGAGAACAGTGATTATACAGGCTTGGTCGGAAAGCGGGTGCGATTGCACTCGATAACTGACCTTGGGTATAATATTTAGTTGCGAAAAACCGGCCAGATTTTTGAGTCGTTTTGAGAATATTTAAATTTATGTATGTTTCCTTGTTTGTCTGCAAAATAATTAATATTTTAATATAAATTTTGTTTTACGGACATACATGGAAACATACATAAACTCGATGCTCTGTGCGGAAAAATAAAAAAAGATTATTCATGATCACAACAATCCCGCCAAATCTACGAACAACTAATTCTATATTGGTTTAAAAAATACTAACTGAAATTTATTGAGTATTCAAAAAATACTAACCGAATGTTTCAGAGTATGTTAAAATATTTTAAAAAGTTGTATTATTTGAGCTTTATGTTTTCGTTGAGATTTCTAGCTTAAATTGTTTTATGAATATACTATCAAACGAACTATTTTTTTAATACTATGGTTCATTCTCGGAGCCACATCTACAAAGCTATAAATGTTTTAAACTAACATTATTTGTTTACAAAAACAAATATTTTAAGTTTACATTTTTGGCGGACTTGTAAACGGAGCACCCTTCTAAGTTTAAAACACGTTTTATCGAAAATAATATTTTACTTACCTAATAAAGTTAATTAAATTAATTTAAGTGTAATTACATCAATTTATCATAATTAATTGATAGAATTAAGTGTAAATGCTTTGACTAACCATTAGAGATTGACCCAAAGAAATATGCATTCATTAATTAACCGTGAAAATTGGGACAGTTTTGGTCACGATTATTAGTATTTCATAGGGGTGCATCGTTTACAAGTCTGCCATATTTTTTAACTTGTCAAAGTTTTGTAAATATATTATAGATCTTATAAGTATATTCTAATTCTTTATATATAAGGAATGTATTTTTTATGTATGTAATGTATTTTTATGTTTGTAATGTATTTTTATGTATGTAATGTATTTTTATGTATGCAATGTATTTTTATATATATATTTTTTATGTATGTATATTTTATTTAAATGTAATCTTTTAAAGCAATTTGTGCGATTGATTTTGTAAACAAAAATACTTTCAATAATAACTGCGTTTTTAATGAAATTAATAATCATCAAAGTTAATACAAAAAAACTTTAACCGCTAATCCATTTTCCTTAGTGTACCCGTTAACTGATTCTTTCCCCCAAGAAAGAAAAGTTTTTAAGTTCTTAGAAATTGGTTTGCTTCAGCCATTCTTACAAACTCGTTATACTTAAAGTGACTTTTTCTGTTTTGTTATTTATTGTTAAGTATTTATTATTTTAATGTTTTATTTTTTTAAATTTTTTATTGAAGTCAAGCTTCATAGTTTTCTCCTTCTTGTGCTGATGCTATTTTTTATCTTTCAAGAAATTAATGCAAAAATGTATTATCTGGTGCTAAGGTTCATTGCTATCTGATTACTAAATATCATATTTTAACTCAGAAATTATGTTCTACAAACTTAAGTTAACAAGAGCAAGTCAAAAATTTTAACTCTCGTGTATGGGTCTGATGTTTCTCCCTATGATAAGACAGAAATGATTACAAAGAACCTTTTAAAAATACTTTTAATATTTTCCTTTAACTTAATTAATTTTCATATAACTCATATCTTGAATATGAGTTAAATGAAATGAAGTTAAACACACTCTTCCTGAGAAACAGGGTAATTCATTATTAGACATTTAAATCACTTTTTTTTTTTTTTTTTTATTTGCATTCACTCCTAACAAGGCTGCAAGCAACCACTATTAAGTTGGGAGTTACTAGGAAAAAAAAGAACAGAGTTATAGAGCAAGGAAACGGTTGACAGAAGACTTGAAAAGTTGAAGGTTGTATGAGTCAGGAAAACATGAAGATGGGAGAGAGTTCCAAAGGATTAAAGTGCGGGGAAAAAAACTAGATGAATAAAAGTTTTTAGAGCATGCAGGGACAGATACAGTAAACGAATGAGACTTAGCTGAATGACAAGTAAAACGAGAATGAATTTTAGTTGATGGAACTAGAGATGATAACTCCTTTGAGCAGTGACCATGATAGTATTTGTAGAAGAGAGAAGGAGATGCAACTTTACGACAATGGGAAAGAGGTTCAAGCTTAGCAGATAGTCCAGGTCCAACAACATTTACAATGCGTTTTTGGACCTTGTCAAGAAGAGAAAGTGAATCGTTAGAAGAACCAGCCCAAATATGACAACAGTATTCCATACAGGGACGAATAAGAGATTTGTAGAGGTAGAGAATGGAATCAGAAGTAAGGAAATGGCGAGCACGATAAAGAGAAGCAACCTTAGCAGAAGCTAATTTAGCAATTGATTGTATATATGGTTTCCATGAAAGGTCAGTAGTAAGCGATAATCCAAGAAGACGAAAAGAGGAGGACTCAGTAAGAGGATTGCCATTCATTAATATAGGAATGTTGACCATATTACGGTAGTTGTTTGCAGTAAACAACTGGGTTTTGTTAGAGTTGAAATTCACAGGCCACTGTGAACCCCAATCTATTACTGAAGTGAGATCGGATTCAAGATCAGCTGCTTGTTCTAGACGATCGAAAAGAGAAGACTTTTTGTCAAGACAGGAGTATAAAGTTGAGTCATCAGCAAAAAGAGCTACTTTAGATGAAAGGTTGTCAGGAAGATCGTTTATGTAGATAAAAAACAAAACAGGGCCCAGAATGGAACCTTGGGGAACCCCAGAAGTTACTGGAAATAAAGAAGAGTGTTGGCCTTCAAGGATGACTTTAATAAACCGGTTAGAAAGAAATGATTTGATAATCTCAAAAACTTTCCCAGAAACACCATATGAAGCAAGCTTATGGAGAAGACCAGCATGCCAAACTTTGTCGAAAGCTTTAGATATGTCGAGAGCAATAGCCCTAGCCTCACCGCCTCCATCTAATGCACGATAAAATCTTTCAGTTACAGCAGTTAGCAAGTCGGCCGTAGAGCGAGAGGATCGAAAACCGTATTGATTGTCTGACAGTAGTTTATTTGACTCAAGATGAGATGTGAGGAATTTGTTGATCAAAGACTCCAAGACCTTGCTAACGACAGAAAGAAGACTGATCGGACGATAATTGGAGGGGTCAGAATTTTCTCCAGAGTTTTTGAATATTGGAACCACAGATGCCATTTTCCAACAAGCAGGAAAACAAGACTCAGTCAAACACTAGTTAAATAGTTTAGAGAGAATTGAAGAAAGTTCTGGAGAACAATTCTGCAAGACTGTGACAGGAATGTTGTCTGGACCACAAGCTGTAGACAAGTTTAATTGAGATATGACTTTAGCAACAGAAGCCGGAGTGATTTGAATGTCTAACAATGGGTCAACCTGTTTGACTGGAATGGAAGGAAGAGAATGTCCATAAGATTCAAGATTGGAATTAGAAGAAAAGTTCTTTTCAAATAGTTCTGCCTTATCCTTGGGAGAGGTAATAAGATCAGTCCCATGAATGAGAGATGGAATGTTAGATCTACCCTTGTTAATAATGCTGTTGAAGATTTTCCAGAAGTCTTTAGAGCCTAACTTCTGTGATAAGATGCGAGATTTAGTGAACTGAGAATAATGGAGTTTAGTATCAGAAAGCACCTTTTTACATCGATTTCTTGCAATAATAAATAGCCGTTTGTTCTCAAGAGAGTTGTTCTTTTGAAAAAGATGAAAAAAATGATTACGATTGGATATAGCAGCCGCACAAGAAGGAGAAAACCATGGAGTAGAATGAGGCTTGACTTGAAACCGACGAGAAGGAACAAAAGCTTCCATTCCAGCCTGAATCCAGGAGATTACGTAGGAGGCGCATTTGTCAGCTGAGAGAGAAAAAACATCAGCCCATTTAAATTTAAATGTCCATTTACATTTAAATGTCTTACAAAAGTGTTCTCAGAAATCTCAGTAAAACTCTCTAAGCACATGTTTAACTAAGTCTTGTTTTTCTGTCTATTGAAAAATGGCATTTATGGTTCCTATTTTTTGGAAACCAAGAGACTGCTTAGTTATCTAACTTCTGTTTCATCTTGAGTTTAACAGTCTCTGACATTGATGAATTTTGATCTTCTTGCCGTACTGCTGATTTATTATTATAATAGATTTTATATAAATGGAATTTTATTTAAATGGAAGTGGTTATTGTTTTTGACATCAAATGCTTTTGATAAAGTATGGCATGTTGTTTTTTCCTTAAGTTCACTTTATATTGTGTATCTAAGAATGTTTTTAAAATTATTAAATCAATTGATAAACAAAGTTTCCCTTAATTTCCAGTAACTTCTGAGGTACCCAATGGTTTCTCATCTATATTAATTATTTTTCTAATAATTTGTAATATTATCTTTATAATGGCTCTGTTTGTTGATGACACTTTATACCGTATTTTTGACAATAAGTCATGACTCTGATTATAAAATAACTTTGTTTATAAAACAACTATTGAGAAAATTTTTCTTCAAGTTTTTTTCAAGACTAGAATCAAATGAATAAATTTTATTTTAAAAGATAATATTTGTATCAAATTCAAAGATAATATAAGTTAGTTTGATATAAGAGCTCCCGGAACATTAACGTTAAATTTTCCAACTTTAGTATTACTAATTGTACACAAATCATTAGAAGCAGCAAATACAATCTGATTTAATTATAGACAATATCGTGCATGAATTAAACCAACTTTTTTCTCTAAAGTTTAGTAATTTACTGATTGGTTAAATTTTTTTGTCTGAGTTTAGTAATTTACTGATTGGTTAAAGTTTTTTCTCTGAGTTTAATAATTTACTGATTAGTTGAAGTTTTTTCTTTGAGTTTAGTAATTTACTCATTGGTTAAAGTTTTTTCTCTGAGTTTAGTAATTTACTGATTGGTTAAAGTTTTTAAAATTGCATTGCTTAAATGCTTAAAGCATCCATCATAAAAATCTTTGTGTTCAGCGACTGGCTTGTCTATAAAAAATCTAGGAACTGCTTTTCCTCTATAAAACAATGATATTGACAGAGTTTATTGTTATTATTTCTGGGTAAGATAACTTCACACCGCCAAAACTTTAATAACTGATATTTTTATATAATTTTTTAAACATTTTTGTAATGTATTGGAGAAGCAGTTTTGAATCTTGCTAATAGATTTTGATGAATATTTTCTTTTAATTTTAGTGACTTTTAATGTATTTAAAAATGTTTTCTGATTGCACAGATATAATTATAAAACTTTTAGTTTCTCAGTTTTTATAACATTAAAAGCTGTCAGTTCTTGATCTTTTGTCAGATTCACACTTATTTAAAGCTATAAATGAATATTTCATTTTTTGTTGTTTGTTTTTCATTGTCTTTTTGGTCATCAAATTGAAATATATCATTAAAGCAATCTTTTAAGAAAGATGACTTTTTATTATTACAATTGTAATTTGATAACAAATGTTATGATATAAAATTTTTTACAAAACTGTGTTGGAAAACCTTTTTGATATACTTTTTTTCAATTTTTTTTTATTTATTATTGTTTTTGTAGTAATTTTGATCTTCGTAAAACAAAAGATTGCATTCCTCAGCATCTTTTGATCGAATTCTATCTTTTTAAATTATTTCAAAAGTAAAATAGAGACTTATGGGGTGATTATGTCAAATAGTTCTTTATCAATTTTTAAACGATATGATATGAATTTCTGGTCGTGAAGTTTAGAAATTTTTTTCTTAAAATTACTACACAACTTTAAATAATTATGTTATATATTAGGCACAAGCTATGTAAATCAATAGTTACCTAATACTTCTGCAACTAATATGTTGAATTTTACCCATAAGTTTCGGTTTTTTTATCAGCAAAAACATCACATTTGGCCTGACAATAATTGAACGCGTTGATTTTTCAAACATTAAAAAATTTACAAACGCAACGTGACTATATTAAAATTTTTCTTTTTATAAAAAAGGCGTTCTCAGCTTTGCATAACTTTTTAAAATTTTTGTGGAGCTGTGTTGTTAAATAATCCCCAGGAAAATCAGTAAATTTAAAATATTTTTTTTAAAGTGTCATATTTAACAACATAGAATGAAAAAATAAGGTTTTTTTAGTTTTAAAGTTTTTCTGAGCCCTATAAACAGAAAATGCATTGTATGAACTGTACAATATTGTTTAAAAAAAGAGCTAATCTAAATTGTTTAATGGATAATAACTTTTTTTAAACTATTTCTACAAAATATTTTAACTGTAGATATTTTTACAAAATATTTCAACCGTAGATATTTTTACAAAATATTTTAACTGTAGATATTTTTACAAAATATTTTAACTGTAGATACTTTCAATCTTTTAACTTTAAATAAGTTTAATAAAACTTTTTTAAAAATTTGTAAAATAAATTACTGCATAAAATTTTGTAGTAGACCGTTTTATATACAGTATACATTTTAGATGTATATGCCTATAAACACTGTTTTAACGTTTTTTTAATCATAAATAGGCCTTAAATATTGTAAATATTATTATTGTTATTTAAATAATAAATAATTATTTTAAATAATAATAATAATTTTAATAACATTATTTATATACAAAGATTAGTTAGGATAGTCGCAGTAAAATGTACATACATAGGTTGTAAGTTAGGTTTCGGACCAGTTAAGTCCAAATTATTTATTAAAGTATTTTTTATTACTGTTTTCTTTTCTTTATTTACTTGTATGGAGTATATGTGTATGAGTATATATAAATATATATAAATGGACACACTCATTAATGCTTTTTGAAATAAATCTTAGGTTTCTCAGATACGTATACCCTATGCGTGCAAGCTTCTATTTCAAGAACTTATGTCTATGAGCATTGCTCCCAGAATGATGGTAGATGGAAACAAATCTATATAGACCATATATGGCTATTACTTTGAAGTAACCACATTAACCAAAGACATTCCAGTCAAAAAAATCATTTCAGTTGCTTGTTAACAACTTTTTTCTCAGAATGGTTAGACGAGTATAATACGAGTGTTTGTGTAAAATGTCTTAAATATTTATTATAAGAGAAAGTCAAAAATTTTTTAAAATTTAATCAATTACTGCTCTTATTCGTTCGATTATTTACATTTTTAGATTAATTTTGTATTTTTATAATTTTATTGCATACTTGAAGTGAACAAATATACAATAGATGTATAATATAACAGATAACAATATATATTTCGTATTAACAAGGTGTTACAATAAAACACAGGTCATTGCAAATAGTGCTTCACTAATAAAACGTAAATACCTAAATAAGATAGGGCAAAGTCCGGTAGCCCCGGACACTTGATGTACAGCTTAAACTAAAGAAGCTATGTGATTTTAAATACTACAAAAACATTATCTTAATGAAAATATAGCATATACAAAATATTTATCATAATATGCCAAAGCGATTGTCTGGAAGTACAAGATATTGTTTCCCACCTCCAGAAGAGCGACGTATCATAATAATTGATTTGCATATTAATATAATTTATATCTAATTTTTATGTAAACTAAAAATTTTTTTATAGATTAAAGATGCATTTTTTATTTACAATAATTATAAAAAAAAATTCGTTTAAACTTTAATTCACTGCTTTTAAAACTAGTATTTGTGAGTGAGGTATGATCGGGTAGTATTGGACACATGTTTGGTGTGTGTTTCCGGACAACTTCCGATTACATATTAAAATTGAGTAAATTTTTTATATAAATATTAATATATTTTACATAACACAAAACCATAATAGTAATTCATTTAATCCCAATAAAAAGACCAAAGATTTAAAAAAGGTGTTTTGAAAGTGGTTATTTTCATCAGTAAAAAACTAATGTTTATATTTCTAAATGGTGATTTTTTATTATTTCCATTCCTTATATATCGAAGGCAGTTTTTAATAGCAATTTATTTTTAAATGCGTTGAGTCCAATGCTTATTAATTATATATCATATTTGTGTCACACGGGTAAAAAAGAGGTACAATTATGGTTAAACTATGTGTCCGAGTCTACCCTCCAATTTTGAAACATACCTTTTTTTCTAACATTTTTTCTTTCATGTTTTGTACCTTATTAAGATAACGATTATTATTTTTTCGTTTCTAATTCAATAGATAAATGTTTGTACTTTTAAAAAAATCTTTTGACACTCTTTTCTGTTAGTACATGTGCACAACCTAATTTTCTGGATATTAGAGCAAAAAACAGAGTTTTGTTCCGTAAACAAAGCTCTACTGCACAACCTGCCAAAAAGTGAAATCACTTGGTGTAGAAGCTAAGATCGGAATGTAAATATCTAAAGAATGATCCAATTATAAAGTTTCTTATTGTGTTAAAGATAGAGAGATACAGTTTAGTTCGATTCGTAAGAAAATATTTGGTCACAAAAAATGAAGACTTAAAGCTGCATTAAAGATAATAGAAAAAGCTAAAAAAGAAACTCTTTCAAAAAATTTTTTTTAAAACTTTAACATGTGAGAAAATTGTTACAGCAAAATTTTTAGAACTGCTTAAAAAATTGCAAAATAATATTTACGGGTTTCTGAAACCAAATTTTTTGAGTATTATTTTCGTCTTAATAAGCGTCAATTTTATCATAATTTAAGATTGAAAATAAAATTGCTTCAGAGTTGGTTGATTCACCTGGAACATGCCATATCTGTAAAACGTTAATACGTGTTTTAGTTTCTGGGGCCAGTTTAATGTCTGGCTCTGTATATTCAACTAATTGTTATAATGATGCAGTAACATGCTTACAACAGCCCCCTACATCAGTTTTTCAATTGCATTTAGCATAAAGTAGTTCACGAGTAGACTGCCACAAGTGTGTAACAACTTTGTATTGTATACGTTTCACAGACGCTGCAATATTACACTTTGTAATAAACAAATTTATGGATGCTTTTATATTTTTAGAAAAATTTCTTTAAATGAACGATAGCCAAGAGTTTGATGCTTTTCGACTCTTTTTTTACAACTATCTCTCTCTATATATTCCCCTTAACAAGATAATCCTTGAAAAATTGTGAGTTATATTACAATATAAATAAATGTCTCTTGTTCAAGTTGAAATACTGTAGTTTATAGATTCCTCTTCATTGAAAACAACAAGTTCATCGTGTTTAAGTTCATGAAAAACAGCTTTAGATGCCGAACAACAGCTCGGAGAACAACTAGCATCTGTTTTGTTTTCTAAATTAGCAATAAAAGAACTCATCTCTTTAGTAATATATACTTCAAAGAAAACTTTATTTAGATTGTTTAGGTTTAAATGGATACAACCACCACAATACATTGCGCATTTGACAATTTGTGGGAAAGGTTTATTGCTTCATTTTTGACATATAAAAAGTTTATTCATATATTAACAATAAAAGTAAAGTCAAAGACAATATAAGAGCAATCCAACTAAAAAATGGTAGCATCGAAACTGATTTAAAAGTAATTACAAATACATTGAATGGGTATTTTGCATCAGTATTCAATAAACCACAAACTTTATCTGCTCCAATAATAGATATAGAAACACAAAAAATCTGTAAAAATCCAGATTTTAATGCCTCTGTTGTTGAAGAATACTTAAACAAACTGGACACTAATAAAGTAACTGGAATGGACAGAGTTCATCCAAAAGTTCTAAAAGAGTGCAAATCTTCTTTAGCCAAACCAATATCGTTATTGTTTAATAAATCATTTGAAACGGGTAAACTTCCAACATTATGGTTGTGTGCAAATATCGTCCCACTGTTTAAAAATGGTGACAAGTTGAACCCATGCAACTATAGACCTGTATCTTTAACATCTGTAGTTTGTAAAGTCATGGAAAAAATAATTAAAGATAAAACGATGAAAAATTTAGTAGAAAATAAATTAATCAATAAAAACCAACATGGATTTGTAAATAATAAAAGTTGTGTGACCAACTTATTGGAATCTCTAGATTCTATCACAAGTTCAATTGATAATGGTTTGGATGTAATAGTTTTGTTTCTGGACTTAGCCAAAGCGTTTGATTCAGTTGATCACGAAAGATTATTGTTTAAATTGAATGCTCTTGGTTTTAAATCAAAACTATTTGACTGGTGCCAGGGATTTTTGAAGAACATACTTCAAAGGGTGGTGATAGGAAACAATAAATCAGAATGGGAAGAGGTCATGAGCGGAGTTCCACAAGGATCAGTGCTAGGACTACTATTATTTGTAGTGTATATATCTCCAACAAAATAAAATCAAGCTGTAAACTATTTGCTGACGACATGAAAATCCTTAGAGCAATAAAAAACGATAATGATGTTATTGAACTTCAACAAGATATAGACTTATTAATGGAATGGTCGAATGAGTGGTTGATGAAATTCAAGCAGCAAAAATGTAAAGTTATGATAATAGGAAATAGCCAGCACAAAGTTTTAATGAATAATACAGCTTTAGCCTCCACAAACATAGAAAAGAATTTAGGAGTGTACATTTCAGATGATTTGGAATGGAAACACCATGTAAATAAAGCAGTAAATAAAGCAAATCAAAAGCTAGGTCAGATCAAACACACTTTTAAATATTTAGACGAAAAAACAATGAAACTCTTGTTTATAGCCTTAGTACGTCCACATTTGGAATACGCAGCTCCTATCTGGAATCCTTATCGTCAGTATGATAAAAATAAACTAGAGTGTGTCCAACAAAGAGCTTCTAGAATTAAAATTTTGAAAGGATACAGTTATAAAGAGAGGTTAAAGAAGTTGGATTTACTATCGTTGGAAAACAGAAGAAGAAGGGTTGATTTGATACAAATGTTCAAATATTTGAAAGGGTACGATATTATAAATTTTTACACAAAACCCGAAATGCTAGATAACGGATATAAAACTAGAGGTCACAATAGTAAACTGAGAAGGCAATATACAGGAAATATAAAACGACATAATTTTTTCACAAATAGAGTAGTAAACGACTAGAACAATCTTGAACAAGAAACAATAGACATCAATTCTCAACTTTTTCGTTTATAGTATATATTATATATACAAAAATATATATTTCACATAAGATTATTATATATTATATATATATATATATATATATATATATATATATATATATATATATATATATATATATATATATATATATATATATATACATATATATATATATAAATATATACATATATATATATATATATATATATATATATATATATATATATATATATATATATATATATATATATATATACATATATATATATATAAATATATACATATATATATATATATATATATATATATATATATATATATATATATATATATATATATATATATATATATATATATATATATATATATATATATACGGTATTTCGAGGGGATATTAATACCCTCGTTATCAAGTATATTAAAAACGGTTCTTAATATACTTGATAATAAGGGTGTCAATATTCCCTCGAAATATTGTAAAAATATATTATATATATATACATATATATATATATATATATATATATATATATATATATATATATATATATATATATATATATATATATATATATATATATATATATATCAGGATTAAAGTAAAAGCCTGCTGATGTGCAGGCTTTTACTTTAATCCTGAAGTTAAAAAATAACATATTATTCTTGTTTCGCCCTGAATTTTATAAACATCATTAACAAATCCTGTTTCGGCCAGAATTTAAAATTTCCATTCCGGTACACCTCTAATAATTAGTAGTAAACCGTCAATTGCCGCAACTTCCCTTTTGCTCAAGGAGCTTTGTACCTAGGTAAAGTTTTATACTATTTTTATTTATGCATACAAGCAATTAATAAACTAGATTATTGCGATATTCGTAAAAGCAACTTATAACTCATAGAGCAGTTAATTAAAAACTCATGCTAAAAGTACAATTTGTGAGAAACAAACAAGCGAAACAAGTGGTACTGTTTTTATAACGCCCCTTCCTGTTACACTCTGTTCGTACCCTTTCTTCATCTATTTGGCTTGCGTAGATGTATTTATTATAAATTGTTTACAGTTTAGGATGTTGAATGCTGGATC